TGTGTGTGTGTGTGTGAAGTCATTCAAGGAAGAACTAGATACTATTGTGATACACACCATGAACAATGTGATACCCAAAATACAGTAATTAATCTAATTAAAGTAAATTGAATAATCAACTCAAATTACTAATTTACCCTTCTATTTTATTTATTAAAAAATATTAATTTTCTTAAATGATTGGCTCACATTAGATCTCACAGTTAGCACAAACTATTTAGTTCTCATATATATATATATATATATATATATATATATATAGAGAGAGAGAGAGAGAGAGAGAGAGAGAGAGAGTTTGTTTCAAATGCAACTCATCACATTTGTACAACCAATACAACTCAATAAATTGAAATATTTATGAAAATGATAAGAGTTCATTTATTATGATTTAAATATTTATGAAAGATAAATAAGGTTCATTAATTATGATCAATACTTTATATTATGAAATAATCAAAACTTCTATGAAATTACACATTCATTAAATTAAATGTATGATTGAGATTGAGTTGTATTGGTTGTACAAATGCAAGGGGTTGTATAATAACCAACCTACACACACACACACACACACATATATACAACCTTATGCATTTGTACAACCTTTGCAACCCAATTAATTGAAATATTTATAGAAATGATTGAAGTCCATTTATTATGATTTGAATATTTATGGAATATGAATAGAGTTTATTAATTATGATTAATATTTTATATTAGGAAACAATTAATTGATTAAAAATTGAATGGTTGAGATGAGGGTTGTATAGGGTGTAGGAATGGCAAAGGGTGTAGAATAACATCCTTCTATATATATATATATATATATATATATATATATATATATCCAAAGATTATTTTGAGAATTGGTAAATATTTGAAAAGTAAAGAAGTGATATTATCCATTGATAAGGTCAAGATCGGATTTGATTGTTCAATAATTGTGGCTTTGACTAGTCAAAAGTTGCGACTATAAAAAAATAGAGGGGGTTGTTCTGTAACCTTTACAAATAGACGACAAACGGATTCATATATGAATCTATGTGAACTCGTATAATTAACCTATGAACTATTTTAACATATTCACATATGAACGTTTGTGATTTACATATGAACTAATTAATTAATTCATATATGATTTCGTGTGATTCGCATATGAACTATTTAACCAATTCATATATGAACCTATAGTTCATATGTGAATCATATGGGTTCACATATGAACCCGTTTGTCACCTATTTGTAAAATTTATGAAACCACCATTCTATCGTTTGCATACACATGTAAGAAACTATCGGGTGCTTCAATGGTCAAAGCCGTGAATGTTGAACAGATAAAAAGGCTATGATCAGTTATTTACTTCTCAAATATTTACCCCTTCTTAAATGATTCTTTACCTACCTACACACACACATATATATATATATATATATATATAGAGAGAGAGAGAGAGAGAGAGAGTAAATCACTTGCAAATCCTTTAATTGTTACATACCAAACAATTGAGATATTTATAGAATACGGTGAGGGGTCATCTATTATGATTAAGATATTTATTGAAGATGATCAAAGTTCAGTAATTACGATCAACCTTTTAAATTAAAAAAGAATCAAAATATTTATGGAACCATATATTTATTAGTCTAGATGGACGGTTGAGATTGATTTATATGATTTTTTGTAAAAGTTACAAAGTTTGCAAAAGAATGGGATGTATAGGCGAATGATCGTGTGATAAGGCGAGTTAAGATGAAAAGCGTAAGAAAAGATCTGGACCCTTGATCACTTTTAATCTCTTGCCACCCATGAATCGCACAGGAATTAATCTGGTGCATCTCAACGCATCTTATCTCGATACATCACATCCTAATATGCATCCGAAGATGGAGATCCCTTCTTACATTTCTCACCTTAATTCTCCGTATCATCGGAACTCAACCCTATATATATAACCTCTTTTTGTTATTGTTCACTCATTTGTCAACCATTGTTCACACATTACTATTTTGTACAATTCGTCAATTACGTACCATCTTGACCATTGACCTCATTTTTCTCGTTTTCTTTGTTTAACGACCATTATTAGAAGAAAAAAAAAACTTTCACCGAAGGAAATTATAGAAGTAACGGATTACCGACAAATTTACGAAAATTGACTTTTCACCTAAATTTGTCAGCATTCATCACAAATTCGTAAAGTAAGCTGTCAATAATTTCAATTCTTTTCTAATTTTCAAAATTATTGACGGATTATCGACTGATTTTAAATATTTATTTATTTATTTTAAATATGCTGGTAATTTTAGAATGCTTCTTTCTTAAAAAAAATTAAATAATTAAAATTACCAACAAATTTTAAGTAAATAATTAATTAATTAAAAAAATCCACGGATTAAATAATTAATAAATAAACAAATTTAAATTGTCGATGAGCAACCGACGGATTATCGTTAATCAATTAATTATTTAAAATTTGTTAGTAATTTAATATGATTTTATATTCTTTTAAATTTTCTAAAATTATCGATAGATTTTAAGAGTTGATTAGTTCATTAAAAGTCATCGTTAATTGCCAGTAATTTTCATATTTATAATGTTTAAAATTACCAAATAGATCCATCTCCATCGTACAACCGACAATGTGAAAGATAGATGGCAAGTCCTTAAGCCGATTATAAGTTCAAATTTTTTTTCTCGTGTTAGAAATAACTACTAATCGAATTGTTTCGAGTTTGGACATACCCGCAAAAAGTGGACGAGTTTAGGTTGTACCCTTCGAGGGGAGAGAGCGTCACAAGGGGAATACGTCACTTCTTAATATCATGCAATAGCACCACTGAGTCTGGTGCTAGCTCGTCCTCTGATCTTCAGGTTTCTACTATTTTCTTATTATGACATCTAATGGTAATATCATGTTTGTTATTACTTACGTTTTCGTTATCTTATTTTTGTAGGTTGAAGAGTGAGACACCCAAATTGGTGAGAGTTTAAGACACAAGACAAGGCTCAAGAGGTGAGAACCAATCTTGTTTGGGTCGTGCATGGTGTAGGGATATAGGATCGGTTCTGGTTAGCTGGATATAAGATCGGTATCAAGGATCTTGGCTTAAATACATGATTGTTATAAATGTAAAGAAGTCACAACTGCTAAATTAAATGTGTGTATGTGTGTATCTGTACCTGTTTTTACTGTCTCCCAAGAAAGTGAAAATTTCCCACATGATTCTAACTCTGTATGTGTGTGTGTGTATATGTATATATATATATATACTGTTTTTACTGTCTTAAGACAGTGAAANTATGTGTGTGTGTGTATATGTATATATATATATATACTGTTTTTACTGTCTTAAGACAGTGAAAATTTCCCACATGATTCTAACTCTGTATGTGTATGTGTATATAAATAAATATATATATATATATATATATATATATATATATATATATAGTTGTCTCCAATACTGATGCAACTCCTGCCCAAGTGAGATTTATGTTACTAGGTGCCTGTACTGTCTATGCATATAAATGCAGCGTGACTATTGTACTAACCATTTGATGCAATTTATGTGTGGGTCAAAGACATTGATGGAAAAAATTAATCCCAGAACCATAAGGAAGAAAATTCAAATTGGTTGGTTCAGTTCAAAAAACTTGGTACTTGAATAGGGGAAATTTGGTCAAGCACAACGACCAATGGTACATATATTTAAGTTATATGTCATATGAAGATATGCTGAATCAATGTGATAAGGAAAATGTTTAAAACCAAACTAATCAGTAAATCCTACAGTCAGATGAGCAAGGGTTGGGCTATCCCACAACTCAGGAGCTCAGAAACATGCTCAGCTGTATTATGCTGCTTCTGTACTTTTTTGAACCCCCCCCCCCCCCCCCCAAAATCACCACATAGTGTCCTGTTTCCTGATGTGGAAGATTCCCTGACAATTGTGAAAACTACCTTCAATGCTTAATAAATTGAATGCTACTGTAAATTGTAAAGGTTCCATGTTTGGTGCACAAAATGATGTAAACCAAAAACTTGGTTTGTTGTACAAATTTATCAAATTTCCATGCCGTTTCAGAGTGAAGATTAAATGTAAAACAGAAATGCCCAAAGGGGAGAAGGGAACAAGAACCTGCAGCTGGCTCCAATGCCTCTGATTGAGAGCAGGAGGAGGAGTCGGGTGTCCAAAATCCATAGATGCTGTCCTTTGCAACGTGTTGTATGCATATGGGGCATCAAGAATGTGCATGTGATTCAGTCCTGCACAAAGCTGCAACTTAATTTAGTTCAGTAAGAAGCAGTTGGTCCACTGTACCCATTTGATGGTAAAACCATGAGGATTAAAGCAGCACCCAAAGTGCATTAGACTTTAGACCATTCCTGTATTCCCCCATATTCACTTGTACCAACTGACTTTAGTTCCTTTAGAACTGCAAGCACAGATCAAAACTGATCACTCAATGGAGCAAGAGAAGGGAATGATGCAAAATGCATATATTAAAATATTATGGGGATGATTTATGATCAAGTAAAACACCTTTTAAAATCATCCAAGGGAGGTTATTCCAAACTCCAAAAGCTCTTCCATATCAAGATGAAAACCCAAAGCTGTCCATCATGCTTCTTGGCTTTCTTGGCCAAACCTTAATTTGAATGCAGTAAATGGTCCCAGACTTGGCCTAATTAACAAGCTTTTCACAATCCAACACCAAATAGGGACTGTTGGGCTTTTTAGGCCTGGTCCTGACTGAGCTCAGCGCTGGTAGGCTTTTGGGGTTTGTATGCATCCCTTTCCAACAACCTTAGACTGGATCGCCAAGCGGGTTTGGATACAGACATCTAATATAATATATAATCATTGGTGTTATCATTCTCTATAATGGGTCACCACAATTTCACAAAAGCAATAACCTCGTCCTTGCATGGTCAGCCGAAATCAGACATCATGGTTACAAGGAAAAAAAACAACAGGCATAAAGAAGACTACATAAATATTCAACTTTGTTTCGTTGATTAGCACTTAAAAGAAGATGGTGACTTGGTTTAATGTAGTTTTACTGGTTAAGATCCATCGATTACAATACCATAGGATATAGAACTTTAAAAATAAATTATACAAGTCTAGCACACGAATTTCCAATGTGCCAACGACCACAACAAAAACAAAGAAAAGTTTGTGTTTTAATTTAACAAAAACGCCATTTTTGCCACTTTGAAGTGGCAAAGCTTAGTACAAAGCTCATTGAGCTTGTGGACCAGCAGGTTGCTGCTGTGTTATACAATGGATGTTACCTCCTCCAAGAACGATTTCCCTCGCACCTTCAATTTTTACCACCTAAGTCAAACAACATACACAAACTTAATTCAGTTGATGGTAGAAGTTGCACAACATGAATCAGACGTTTGTTGACATCGTGCCATTGAACAAACTTTGTCTTCTAAGGGTGTAGTTTTTTTGGGGGGGTCCCTAGTGCTCTGGATGGATGTGAAACAGGGCAACTCCCTCTATCACAAATACAATTAATTAAGCAATCCACTGCCAGATCATTTTTTAGTCATTTTTGAAACAAATTTGTCAAACTCGTGAATGGTTGATAGTTCAAGTGATAGGGGCTGTTTGGTTGTTTTTCCATTGCGTGACGTATAAAGTTGTCTGTATGGATTAAGCTAAAATGTTGTTTGTTTGTTGTGTGGACTATTAAATAAAACTGTCTGAATGATCCAAAAGACCATTTTACCCTCACTGTTTATTTATTTTTCATGGAGGATTACATCAATTCAATTTTGCTATTCAACAACATCCAATTAAACCTTCAACAACATCATATTGAATCTTCAAAAACATCCAAAAACATCTATTGAACCTTAACACTTCAATAATATATAAATCATATCACAATTCATCGATTAGAATCCTATTTCTATTACGTATCTTGTTGTTATTTAATTTCTTTTTAGTTATATTTAATAAGTAACTATTGTTCTTATCCAAATTCTCTTGTTTTCAAACAGGCCCTTTTCCAGATGGGAGACGATAAGGCTCCGGGGCCTAACGGTTTCACCTCCAAATTCTTTAAGGCCACTTGAAGTATTGTTGGCAAGGACCTGTGCTCTGCCGTTCGTGAGTTCTTCACGTCTGGTGAGCTCTTAAAGTCCCTTAATAGCACTATCCTGGGCCTTATTCCCAAGTCGGCTGCCCCTTCCAGAGTCACCGACTTCCGTCCCATTGCTTGTTGTAATGTCCTATATAAAATCATTAGCAAGATCATTGTGGATCGCATAAAAGATCACCTCCCCTCTCTGGTTGACATAAATCAATCTGCGTTTATTCCGGGTCGTCTCATCACGGATAATGTTCTTCTTGTCCAGGAGCTCATGCGCGGCTATGATAAGCAACGGGGCCCTCCCCGCTGTACCTTCAAAGTTGACATCCAAAAGGCTTATGATACCGTTGATTGGCATCTTCTTCGCACTGCTCGTTTTGGCTACGGTTTTCCCCTTACCATGATTAATTGGATTATGAAATGTGTTTCCACTGCCTCTTATTCGGTCAGTATCAATGGAAACCTCCATGGCTATTTTAAGGGGGGTCGTGGCATGAGGCCGGGTGATCCTCTTTCTCCCTATATGCTTCACTTTGGTCATGGAGGTTCTTCACCTCTTGACCAAAAGAAAAATCAGTGAGACGGGCACCTTTTCCTGTCATCGGAATTGTGAGGAGCTAAAGATCACCCATCTCTGCTTTGCTGATGATCTCATTTTCTGCCATGGTGATAGTGACTCTGTCCGTGTCATAAAGAATTCCCTTGATGAGTTTTCTGGAGTGTCTGGCCTCTTCCCCAGTCCGACCAAAAGTGAGGCTTTCTATTGTAATGTATGCCAGCATACAAAGAATTCCATTCAGTCTATAATCCAATTCCCGAATGGTTCCCTTCCGGTTCGGTTTCTTGGTGTCCCCCTCATTACTACTCGCCTTTATCATCAGGACTGTAAGGGTCTCGTGTGGACAAGGTCAAATCCAGACTTAATGACTGGAAAAACAAGTCCCTTTCCTTTGCCGGTAAGCTGAAGCTCATTCTTTCGGTCCTGTTCTCTATGCAAATCTATTGGGCCTCTATCTTTGTTCTTCCGATTTCTACCTCTAAGGAGATTGAGTAGCTCATGCGGGGCTTCCTGTGGTGCCATGATGAGCTTAAAAGGGGGAAAGCTAAGGTCTCCTGGAAGACCGTATGCCTTCCCAAATCTCAAGGTGGTCTTGGTATTAAGAGCCTTTTCAGCTGAAATCTTGCCCTTCTGGCCTCCCACACTTGGAGACTCCTTGCCAATAAAGATTCTCTATGGGTTAAATGGATTCACTTCTACAGGCTTAAAGATCGTAACTTCAGGGATGTCCCGATCCGCAGTGATGTTGGTTGGGGCTGGAGAAAGATCCTGGGCATGAGGAATAAGATAAGAGACTCCATTGTCTCCCAGATTGGTGATGGCGCCTCCACGTCTACCTGGTATGATAACTGGCACCCTGCTGGCCCCCTCTACCGGCAAATCTCTTCCCGCAATATCCTTAACTCTAATCTCTCTCTCTCTGCCTCCGTTAAGGGATATCATTTTCCAGGGTAATTGGACTTGCCCCCACTTAAGGAACAGTACTAACCCTTTAATCTGCAATTCTCCTCTTCCTGTCCTTTCCCCGGCTGTCCTTGATAAACTCCTCTAGAGAACTAAGAATGGCCATCTCACTTCGTTCTCCGTTCATGAGGTTTGGCTCTCCCTCCGTCCCAATGAGCCTGATGTCTCCTGGCATCATATGGTCTGGTTTTCTCAAAGCATTCCCAGACATGCCTTTATTATGTGGCTTGCCCTCAAGCAGCGTCTCAAGACGCATGATAAGCTTCGGTTCTGGGAGCCCACTCCAACCTGTCTTGTGTGTTCTGTCAAAATGGGACTGATTCGCACTCGCATCTCTTCTTTGAGTGCCCGTTCCCTAATCAGGTTTGGAATGGCTTAAAGCCCAAGCTTAACCTCATTGGTGTCCCGGATAACTGGGCTGATATTATTGGTATGTTCCAGCAAGCCACCAAAGGAAAGACCGTCTGGTCTATCATTCGAAGATTAGTACTAGCTGGGACCGTCTACCACCTGTGGCAGGAAAGAAATAATCGCATCTTCAAAAACAAAAGAAGATCGCATATTATGGTGGTGAAGACAATTACCAATGATGCCCGGGCCAGGCTCCTCAGCCTGACCTTCAAGCCCTCCCCCCAATGTTGTTCGGGCTCGGCTTGCCTGGAACCTTCCTTAGTGGTCTGTCCCCCTGTCCGCTTTCTCTTCCTGTGAGCTTTTTTGCTCTCATGTTTTTCTCGGTGCGGTCTAGGGTGTGCCTGTTTTAGGCCCTTTTTCCTGCCCTTAGGGTATTCCCCGTTGCTTCCCTGTCTTGGCTTGGCTGGGCCCTTCCCTTGTGGTTGGTTTCTTTTTTTTTCTCTCTCCCTCTCTTCTCTCTCTCTCTCTCTCTCTCTCTCTTTTTCTTTCTCTTCTCCACTCTCTTCTCTTCCTCTCTTTCCCCCCGAGAGCCTTGGATTATTCTGGTGGATGTGGTTCGCCCCCACCCGAGCGCATATTTGGCTTGCTTTTAGCCTTTAGTGTTTTATCTTGATAAGAGGGGCCTCCCCCCTCTATCAATATATATATATATATATATTAAATATAATTCTCATTTTTTCTATTTTTTTTATTTTGGATTTGAAATTCTATCTTTTGTATTGATCGAAATTGAAATTGATTTCTATTTGATTATCTTTAAATAACATATTTCATTTTTTTATGAATATGTCCATTTATCTTCTTATTATTAATACTTATAATGGAAATCGATTGAGAAATGAAACCTGTTGTTGGTTCGTTTGCTCACGTTAGTCTGTATCAACATGGTAAATTTCACTTCAATCTTGCAATATAATTTTTTTAATATGTGCTAAAATCTACGCATCCTGCAACACTTCCCTTCACTCCCAGAGCTTCCCTTTTCATCCGCAAAGAAACCATTTGAAGTCCTTTCATGAAAGAAGAGCACTCAAGGTCTTCTTAACCCATGGTTTTAAAAAGCGTGTGAGGCGTACACCTCCAGGCGAGGCGGTCAAAACCGCACCTAAGGTGGCGCCTCTCAATCCCTAAATGAGACGTACGCCTTGGTTGTCTGAGGCGGTGAGGTGTGAGGCAGTGGAGAGGCGTACACCTCACAACAGAGGCTAAATTATTAGAAAAAATGATTGAAACCTTCCCGATTTCTTTTTTGAAAACCTTGTTCTTCTCTGGTTTTCCTAAGCCCTATCTGCTACTCATATGTTGTCCTCCGTGAGTTCTAGTTTTCTCTCGTTTTCTTTGCGTTTTCTTCTTTGATTATTCTCCGGTTCACCAGAGTATTATGTATAGATAATAGCGGATGTACTTCTTTTATATTTAGTCTCTACTATGTGTCACAGTCAGAGTCTGCTTCTACTACCACTTTTTCGATATTTTAATATTTTTTTCTTGATGAGCTTGACCATATCAATATATACATATACATATATATATGTATATATTATTGATAGATCAATTTTTTTCTTTGTTACTATATCTATATTTCGTGATTGAAAAAAGTGTTGTATATTCTTTTAGTAATTTAGTATGATATATATATTTATATATGTGTGTGTGTGTGTATATATATATATATTTTTTGTGTCTAGTACTCAAGTGTGTGTGTATATATTGCACATATTTTCTGTGTATAAGCAATGGAATGTAGATTAGTATAAATATATTTTGCATAGTCAATATACATGGTATATATATTTCTGCCTTGGGGCTTATGCCTCGGACTGCCTTGAGGCTCCTCGCCTCATTGAGGGAAAACGCCTCAAGGCTCGATTCCGCTTTTAAAACCTTGGCTTAACCTTCTAACAATTCAAGATTTACATATTCAACACTGCCCATTTTCTTATTTTCTGTTGGTTGCCATTTGTTTGAAATCCAAACTTTTTCTTCTGATCTAATTGAAACCCAGATCTGCGTGCATCATCTTCCATCGATCTGGTTTAAAAATATAACTTCCAATCTACAACCCGAATCAGCAGCACGGAGCACTAGGCGAGGAACTGTGACAAAGACGAGAAGCAGCAGGCAAAAGTAGAGGTGTTTTGGGGTTGTAGATGGAAACCCTTTCTGCTGGAAACCCAGATCTGTTTCAGCAATGACAATCTTGAAACCCTTTCTGTGGAAATATGAGCTACATCGAAATTTGGCCATTATGAGAAGCAAAGACAATCTTGAAAGGTCTTTTGAGAAGCAAAGACAAGAAGGTGGGATGTGTTGAAAGCATGGGTATTGTTTCAAGGAGAGCTTCTGAGAAGGGCAGAGATGGAAATGAGAGCTTTGTGGATTAAGCACACCTCCATATGCTGAGCAAATAAGCCATACATGTTACTAAAAACCTAGTTCAGTCCTTACCAAACAGCCCCTTATTGTGGTAAATTAATTGACCCTTTTTTGTTTCTTCTTTTTGCAATTAATCAAGTATTGACAGCATAACATGGAAAATTTCACCAATTATCATTGATTGATTGATCAGAGTTATGAAGACAATGCAAAAACAACATCGCTGAAAGAGATGCTTACTTCATGATCAGGGAAGGCCTGAGACAGGACACGGACAGCTTCATTGTCCCATTTTGGGTCTCCAAACTGGGGTGCTATAATGCCACCATTAACAATGTAAAAGTTAACGTATGAAGCTGCAAGCCTTGTACCAGGAAGTCTCGGTTTAGCCTCACCAACCTGTGTGTTAACATATTAACAACACTAAACAAGAAAAAAGTGCAACTAACATTTTAGTTCTGCTTTGTGAGAGATAAGCTATGCTCAGAAGTAACTCGATACCAATCTGGAATGATAATGCAAGAACATCACGTTATCCAACTTTTGCAATGTGAAGTTATAGAAACAGAAGTCCTAAAGCTTTCTTGGTAAAAGCGAAGGAAACCTCTCATTACTTACAAAAGAGTGAATTTACCAAGAAGAAAAGGAAAAAAATCCACTTCAATCAAAGCTAGCTTAAATCCAAACACATCACATATCCTGATACAAAAAGAGACGCCACAAATTGACACTCATGCACAATAGAACCTTTTGACAATTGATCAAGCTTGGTTCCTTCATGAACACTCCCTCATTCCTGTAAGGATGCATCAATTTCCATCCACAAAAATTGGAAGATTTTCTTTTTTGGGTAACTTCTTAATCTAGAATCCTTGCCCATTGTCATCATTACATCTTATTGTGATATTGATTGTAGTCCGTAAGATTCTTTTGCTAGAATGTCTAGCAAATACTCAAAACATTTACTTAAAAAACTAAGTGTCTGGTCAAATGGCATGTCTTAAACCAGGTGATACTGATTGTAGTCCGTAAGATTCTTTTGTTAGGATGTCTAACAAATACTCAACATTTACTTAAAAAACTAAAGTGTCTGGTCAAATGGTATGTCTTAAACCAAGTGATATTGATTGTAGTCCGTAAGATTCTTTTGCTAGGATGTCTAACAAATACTCAAAACATTTACTTAAAAAACTGTCTGGTCAAATGGTATGTCTTAAACCAATTAGCAGGAGCCAAAAACACATTACAACTAGAAAACAAATTATGTCTTAAGCTGCAATGGCTCATAATGAAAAAAGCACATCCATTTGAATCTACACTACCTTAAGGTGCATAAAGTGGACATAAGAACTCTAAATCGACAGCCTACCTGAACAAATCCAGCAGCTTCTTCATCCGTCATATAGAGAGGCCCCGGTACATGGAGTTTAATAATTTCAAATTTTCTACCATGAGCATCGGTAGAATTTGAGAGAACAGTAAAAGCTTCTACAGCTCGCTCGTACTGAGGGTCTGATTCATCATCCGTCCAGGACAACAAGACTACACCAGGCTTCACAAAACAGCACATATTGTCAATATGCCCATTAGTATCATCATCACCTGTAGAGGAGTGCATGTGAATATTATGAGAAAATTAGGAAGAGCATACAAGATTCTGATGATCTTGAAAATTTCCATCGTCCAAAAGTTGCCCAAAACTGATTTGAGACTGGCGATGTTGAAAATTATGAACGGCACTTACTGTCCATTCTTTTATACATCAGGCATGAAAAAGATAAAAGGGATATTGCAGTTCTGGTAGATATAAGAGCATCATGTTAAGCGAAGTTGCAAGCACTATTTGACATGATTGTAGTTTTGTAGAATGCTTGTTTAAACAGATATATCTCCCCCTTCTGAATGCCATGAAGTGCTTCAGCATTACAAAAATTAGAGATATTTGAATAATTAACCATCTAACCCTTCATATGATCGTCTCCCTAATTGGTAAAACACCGACCCTGGAGGCCTCATGGGGAAGAAAGATATCTATGCAATACTATATAAACTTTTATGAAGGATATACGTTAAGTACCAAATAGTCCACGAGGCAACCAAATAATCTTCTTGATTCCAAGATATGCTTTGAGCTCATCTTCTATTTGTTCTTTGGTCAGATGTGGATTCCTGTTTTTGTTCAACAAGCACTCTTCAGTCGTGAGGCAGGTCCCTGAGAGAAGAAATACAGTTTAGAAGATATTGATTTTCGTAAAATTTAACATAGGAAATTCATCTACTGGCAACATGACTCCATAAAACCTGCAGAGAATTATTCAAAAACAAAAACAAAAATGCATTATATCAGCGATATTATGAGCACCAACCATTCCCCATTTATATTAATGACAATGTAATGTCAAAATGACAGATCTCATATAAATGACTTAAGGATTGAAGAAAAACTTTACTTATGCAACTATTTTCTCATTAACCTGATAGTTAGTACACTCTCCCACACTTCAAGAAGAGAAAATGCAAACAATACATTAATATCATCAACCAAATAAACAGGACATGTCTGCATAGAAACAGTGGCAATGAATTGCTATAGTTGGCCATAATAATCTGAAAGCTGTTACCTTCACATGCTTCCACCTTCAAGAACTAAGGGGGAGTTTGGTTTGCAGGATTCCGACAGAATCTGAAAAAATTGGAATGATCAATTCCATTGACCAAATTCCGTTCAGGCGTTTGGTTTACCTATGGAATGGAATTGAATTCCACACATTCCACCATTCATGGATTTGGCCATTCCATCACAATTGAGAAAATATTCAATTCCATTCCATCCCATTTTCTCAAAAGACAAAATTATCCCCATCTTCCCTACTTGATTTACCAAGACCCATATGACCTCCATCTGAACCACCGCCGACCACCACCATTCTAAACCACCGACCTGAACCTCTGCCGACTACCACCGATCTTAACCACCGCCGATCTAAACTATTGCCGACCACCACCGTTCTAACCAATTTGAACCACTGCCGACCACCACCGATCTAAACCACCAGTCCAGACCACCGCCGACCACCACCACTCTGAACCACCATCGACCACCACCGATCTAAACCACCGCCGACCACCACCGATCTGAACCACAACCGACCACCACCGTTATAAAAGGGGTATTTTGGGCGGTTATTGTTTATTCATTCCAATTCTGAAGCTACATTCTACCAACCAAACAGGAAAATTCCAAATCATTTAACGGATCCTATTCCAATTCATACCAACCAAACACACGGTCAGATTCCATTCCAATTCCTTCAAAGTCAGATTCCTTTGACAAATTCCATTCCTTCAGAAAACATATTTGCAAACCAAATGCCTCCTAAGGATTGTGGAAAACGAGGCACAAAATAAGCAAAAAAATGCATTTAATCAAGGGATACTATGAGCAACAACCTTCTACATTTATTTACTGACAATGTAATGTCAAACTGACAGACTTCATAGCTTATATTAATGACTAAGATCGAAGGCAGGCTTAGCTTATGCAACCATTTTCTCATTAACTTAGTGCAACCTCCATGAATTCATCCCACAATTCGTGTGCACTTTGAAAATGACAGAACACTTCTAGAAGAGAAAATGCAAACAATACATGAAGATCATCTACCAAATAAACAGTACAAATCTGTGTAGAAACAATGGCAATGAATTGTTATAGTTGGCGGCAATAATATGAAAGTTGTTACCTTCACCATCTACATGAATGCTTCCACCCTCAAGAATTATGGATTGTGGAAAACGAGGAATCCTCTCAATTGCAAGAATCTAACAGAAAACACGAAATCAAAATAAAGACACAGTACCTATGTGATGAATAGGAAAAGGCACTACCATAAACTAGTAATATTGCAACATCACAAGTTATTATAACTTTTACGCAACATATAAGAGTAATGATCTCTGCCAGTGCTAACCTTCCGTGCAACAAGAAGATCAAGACTCCAGTCTTTGTAGCAGCCATCATCAACACCTAGAATACCCAAGTAACCATATCAAAAAAAAAAAACTACAACCACAAAAGGATCTCATGCAAAATATTAAGTTAATTTTCACAAGAACTTTGATTAGATAAAAGCCCAAAAACTGTTAAATGGCCAATCATATGCGCCTTTTGCAGCCACATATTAATTTGGAAAAACCAGGCTAATTCAAGGAGCATTCTCATATTTCTGTCACTTCATACTTGTACACAGGATAATAGCTAACGGATATATTCACAAACTATCAGTGGTAACATCCCAAGCGGGTTATGAACAGAACTGGAAAGGGTGATTAGTCATTACAGTTTGTAGAATCTGCAACAAAATAAAGCAAACCCACCGTGCATATAACTATTTTGACATTCAATAGAATGGAATTATCAACAGCACCTTGCTATGTAATTGATCAATGATGACATGAAAAGCATACAGCAGTATTCAATAAACACTACGAATAAACGAGTTATGTTCTGCTAAACTTACCACCCCAACTGTTGAAATTCCAATCAATGCCAGCAACATTGTGCCCTACCTTCCCTGAACCTGATTTTCTCTCACTTACAACAAACTATATAGTGAAGGAGTAAAAAAATCAAAAATCATAAAGCAAGAAGTTTAAATAAATCTCATCTAGGCAATTGAATCGAAAGAAGGCTGAATGGAAGAACTTAACAGTTGGGCCACTGTCACGAAACCAAGAATCATTCATACCCATCTCAACAACCCTCACACTATGAGGCAATTGGTTGCGTGCATTAGCCCACTGCAAAAGAAACAAAGAAACTTCAATGGTCATGTTCAATTCCAAACTGGATAGAGTTGAAATGGAACGACAGAAATTAATAATGAAAATCCTGATGAAGAGGATAAAAACAGAAAGAGAGCCTACACTTTGTATTTCTAATTCACAATTGTTAAGCAGTATCACTAACTAACGTTTGAATATCCTAATTGAAGAACTAATTTAGACTTAAACATACAGTTCAAATATTGTCTAATACTAATTGTAATCATATTCTGGTCCTTCAAAATCATGTTCCTTGTGTGCTTACCTTCAGTACCCCCCCCCCTTCCCTTCCCAACAAGTTCCACAAGCATAAGAGTTTAACATCCACAACTTGTGCAAGTTGTGGATATGGGCAGTTCGACCCATGTCTTCTGTCAAAATTTCTATAAGTTTGTAAACTAGTTCGGACACATGATGGAATGAGTTATTCTCTTTAACTTCTCACAAATGATACGGCGTTCCATTTTGTTATAGTTGCTACAAGAATGCATGGCAAGATTGGATGAAATTGCTATGGTAAATGACCATCTATTAATAAAATAACGGGTAATAGAGCATGGACAGTCAAATCATGAAGCAAGCAACATAACTGGCTTAACTCACATGCAGAATGTTCCATAGCTCTAGACTTCAACTTTACTGATGATCTTGATACTGCAGTGTGTTTCTTAGACTTCCATGTAAATAGAGAAGGTCCTAGCAACATCCACTAACCAGTAACCAATTTATGATGGAGTTGACGACTTCCAATCATTATCTAATATGCATGTCTGTTGAGATGGGAGAAATAAGCTTTGACCTGGTTCTGCCTATATGTATCTTAGACTAGTCAGACCTTTGTGGGATCGTGTTATAAAACTAGCTCAATTACACAGTGAAGGATATATCTGGCCTTGGAATGACTAAGTATAGGAGCTGTCCAACAACTTTTCTGTACAAAGATGGATTATCAAAGACATCCCCTCTATATGAAGTGGTGTTAAAATTAATACTAAGAGCCACAGGTTTGAATAAATCAATCCAACTTCCTTAAGATTAGTCCTGCCATGAGTACATCATTGACATATACCAGGACCATCCCATGATCTTCATAGTTCTTCAATGTAAAGAGGGAATAGTCTGCCAAACTTTGCTTGAGCCCATCCTTTTTTTGCAAAAAGTGGAAAGGAACCCTTTGGAAAACTTTATGCAAGTTTGAACCCATCTACGGAAGAGCCTGTGTTAGTTTTAAGAACCATTGCCTTCATGCTTACATAAGGCCATACAGTGGCTTTTGTAACTTACACACATGACTATTAGTAAAGGATAAGTAAATTGGGGATGACATAAATTTCTTCTTCTAAGTCTCCTTGTAAGAGGGCATTGTTCACACCAAGTTGATGTTTACTGCAATGCTTAGCTATTTCAATGGCCAGCAGGCTTCTTACTGTGGTCAACTTGCTACTAGGGCAAAGGTTTCTTGAAAATCAACTCCCATAGTCCGAGTATAACCCTTGGCTACAAGTCTAGCCTTAAACCTTTTAGCATCTCCGGTAGATTGGTTTTTGACATTGTAAATCAACAGGCTGATATTTCATTTTCCATGGCCACAATCTACCTTGGATCCTTCAATGCTTGCCTATATGTCTTAGATTGCATGTTATCTGTTATCGAAATGATAGACTCATGATTTGTAGATCATAGTGGAATCATTTAGAGAATGCTATTGATGATATTTGGTATGAATAGATGTTCTAGCAGGCGTTTAGCCAACTTCGTAATCTCTAAATTTGGTGGGTAGCTTGATGGGTCCAGATGCTTTAACTTGAGTTCTTGATGATGGCTCGCCAACTTGAGTTTTAGAACTCATGCAGCTATTGTCATTGGCTATTTGTTGCTAAACTGGTTGAACAAATTGGGTTGAGGCATCAGATTGAGTATGAGTTAGTTGGGTGATGATGCTAACATTTAGCTACAATGTGTGAGGTAGAGCAACGTGGAAAGAAGAAACACATCTTCATATAACTTACATGTGTTGACTGTTGATTAGAAGTCAGGATCACATAATGTAGCTTTCTGACCTCATATGTACCCAGCAGTTGAAATTTCAAAGCCCTTGAAACAAATTTATCTTGCAAGTCTTGTGAAGCATGGCATAAGCACCCTCTAACATGCTAATAGGATGGGGGATTCTAATATAGCATCTCATAGTGTGTTTTAAAAGATAGTGACACTGATGGTGAGATGTTGATGGATATATGCTGCCATGATGGTATAGCCCCAGACAGTGAGGGTGACTAATGTAATTCATCATAGAGAAATTGACAAACTCGGTCTTATGAATTCTAGGGTTCCTTATTCAGGTTGTAAAGCAGAAGATGACGGAGAAGGAGCACAGGCCGACCAGCAGCCCGCGTTTCCGACCGGAAAGGAAATCAAAGTTAGTAGCCTGTCGGCCCTGTCCTCATCTTGTTGACTGTTGTTCAACTAGTTTTGCACATAAGCATAGAAATTGATGATGATAGGTGGAACATTTTCTTCGTACGAGAGAAGAAAAATCCACAAGGCTCTAATGCAATCATCCATTATAGTCAAGAAATATCCATAGTCCCCCAAAGATCACAATGAATCAACTCAAAAATTCTAATGCTCATAATTGCTCAAGAAAATGGCAGGTTATGTTGTTTTGCAGTAGATATATAGAACAATGAGCCCTTCTTTTATCAACAAAATGTAGTACATCATCATCAAGAGACAAAGAAGAAAACATGTTATAATGCATCATAGGAAGAATATCCAAGTATCCTATGCCAAACCTCCATCACATTTGTCTTAGCAACCACCACTAGGTGATCATCATCATCATCATCATTTATCATGCCAACTTGAAATAACTCCAGTACGCATGAATCCAATTCCCATCACCTTCTTCAGGATGTGGTCCCAAATCATGCTATGATTCTTATTAAATTTGGTCAAGTAAGTGGGTAGGCCTGAACTAGCCTTGCTGATGTAAATAGGGTTGAATGAAAATTATGGCAAGGAAAAGTACCATGAAGAGTAATACTTCCATTAAGCATCATGGATACTTCATGACTGACCTTAAACTCATGTTTTGGGGGGTAAAGTAACACCGATTGAACAGGTGAATTCTGGAACATCATGCATGAGATTCATATCCACACAAACATGTTCAGTAGTACTATCAATCACCCAATCATGTGTATTTTTTAAACTGCAGCAACATATAGTTTACACTCTGTTTGAGTTCTCAAAAGGGTCACAGAAGCAAGACTTGGTTAAATTTATTTTGCAAGAACACTGGCTTTGTCCATAGAAACTATCACTTTCTAGGGGCTGAACTAGTCATTCACTTTCATTATTGCAACCAGCATTAAGCTTACAGTTATGAACACCTTTATATGAAGATAAATGATAGGCCTATCTCCTCCCTTTGATGTCTTATCTTTAGCTTTCATCTAATGGATGGGACGGTGGATATACAATTAGTTTACAACCTGCTTCCCTTCAATGCCCCTCCAAATGGCAGTTGCTGCAAACAGCCCCTTGTTTAAAATTTGATTTGTAATGATTAGATTTAGGAATTTTGATTTAGTTGTTTGTTTTTTGAATTCTTGGAACAGATCTTGGTTAGGAGTAGAATTAGATCCTTACTGAACAAAGCTAGCAGCTATTGGAAGGAGATCAGTATACACATGTGCTTCTCTTCTTGTTTTAAAATTTCGTAGGCCTTTGATACAGAGAGAAAATGGTGACAACATTCGGATTGGTCCTCGAATGGTTGTATAGTTACCAGTAGGACATTGCACATCATGTTTACAAGGATATTGGCATACGTTGGGTACATCAGGATCATCTAATTCATCACTATATCCCCTGATTTTATGAAAATGAACTTTAGCGGTTGTCTTATTTTGACTCAACGAATGGATATCATATTCGAATTGAAACACATGGAATCCATCACTTGCTGCAAATCTTTCGGATGATTTACCATACTGAGGCAATAGTATGTACGAAACTCAAGGAGTTGCTGATCTCAGTTGAGACAGCACTAATAACCTGACCAATAATCATATAGTTGGCTAAGTCCCAGTGTGAGCATACAGGGGAACCATATGAGGGTTTAGGGTAATTACCATCTACAAGACCTATCTTGTTTTTTTGCAGCCAAAACTATCTGCATTGACATCTTTTACCACAACAAATAATTACCTTTTCCTATCAGTCCTGGACGATAGTTACTGTGAATGAATAAGGGATACAAAGTAGATTTGATTGACAAATCCCTTGCAGGCAGGCATTAGTGGTGGGTGAATCTAGATTTGGTGCCATGGTTCAAGAATTTAAAATTAATGAAGATTTTCTATTCAAGAATGTATTTGAACACATCATGGTCTATAGGTAGGAAGCTTTTATACCGGAAAAAAAGTTGAAATTAAATGAAAGAAATCAAGAATCAAATCATTGATGAAGAAGATGACTGAAGAGAATACAGAAAGCGATCATGTCCAAAATTGACAAGTATCACCAAACATACATTTATAAGCCACGCTTGTTACACTTCACTACCCCAAACTTGTTATAACAATTCAAATATTGTCTGATATTATCATTTGATGACATTCTGGTCCTTCAAATCATGTTGCTGTCCTTTACATTCAATACAAACACCAAATTTCAAGTTTGATTTTACCGTGACCCCACATATTGATTGCAATATCCATCTAAAATAAATTTTCAATACGGTTCATCATCTAACCATGGGTATTTCTATGGCAAACATTCACAGATAAGCAAACAAATTTCAAACTGGTAGAGAATAAAATATATAGGTAACCTGAGAGGCACTGGCGCAGACAGTAACGGGTTCGAACTTAGAGATGGCAGAAGCAACTTTAGCAAAAATACGCTGGCCATGGATTCCATCATCTCGCCAATTATCAGGGCGCTCCTGAAAGTCCAAAGTGAAAAGGAATTAGGTTACAATCAGCAATAATCAAGCATGTAAGATAAAGAATGGCGACTTACAGGCCAACCAAGCCAGGTTTGAGAGTGGGGTTCCCATTCTGCGGGCATTCGGAATCCATGAAGAGCCGGTGATCCTTCTGTGATATCCATCTGATTGATCAGTTTGTGACAAAATCGATGGAGTTCTTGGTCACCGGCGTAAGGCTTCTTCCGTTTACCTACTTTCGTTTCGTTTAGTGGAAAAAACCTCAAAATAAAATTAGGCCGAAGGAATAAAAAAAAAGGGTTGTTTGGCATCGCTTTATTGAAATAACTTTATGTTTTTCTACAGAAGTCATTATCAATTTATTATAAGTTAGAATAGTTTAGCTTCTTTAAAAACTTTTTATTATCGATTTGGCACCATATAAGTTGTTTATCTAAACATTTAAAAGTGTTTATTACCGGTGTCACACCGGACTAAGTCAATAAGTTGTTATTATAAGCAATCCCAAACACTCCCTAAATAAAGACAAACGGATGCTCCTTTAAATAAAATAAGATAGGAATATATGTAAACTATAATTTTGGTCCATAGGATTTATACAGGCTACATGTGGTACATGGGACGGGCAGTTAAAAACTGGAAAAAAAACTCAACGTCTCGTGTTTGGCACAACATGGGACAGAACAAGAACTCACTATCTCACGTTTGGTGCGACATAAAACAGACACAAGAACTGGGACAAGATGGACAACATGAGATAAAAGAGTTTTTTTCTTGTTCTATCAAAATAGGTGAAACAAGATGAGACAAGAATGAGACGTAAACTAAAATATTACTAATCTACCATAATTTAATATGTAACATTAATATGGTATTTGTTTTAATGGTCATCACCGCTAGTTTCTGTCGCCGCCACCACCGGCGATCACAGTTGGCCACCTCTACCTCCACCTCCTCTTCCATTACAATAACATCATCCATCGCCTCCACAACCACTGTCCATCGCCATCTCTACCACAGTAGACCACTGACCACCACCATCCATTGCCACCACCACTATCGCCATTGGCCACCTCAAACTTTTCCTCTACTACAAGAATCTTCTCTATCACCGACTACCATCGTGCATTACCACCTCTACAGCCACCATCAGTCGCCGACCACCACCGTCCATTGTCACCTCTACAACCACCATCGGCCACCGACCGCCACCATCTATTGCAACCAACACTACCACTGTTGGCCACCTGCAACTCCTCCTATACTCCAACAACCTCCTTCATGACTTCCACAACCATCATCGACTACCGACCACCACTGTCTATTGCCACCTTTACAACCACCATCGACCATCACCGTCCATTGCCACCATCACTACCACCGTTGGTCACCTCTATCTCCTTCTCTACTGCAACATCCTCCTCCACAACTACCGACCACCATCGTCCATTATCACCTCACCTCCATCATAACCACCACCACCATACCTTCACTACATTGGCCACATCTACCTCCTCCACCATTATCAACTGTCGCCACCACCACCACCATAATCCACCATCTTCACGTCCTTCACAATCGTCGTCCTCCGACCACCACCTCCCATCGCCACTACTACCGTCGACCACCACCACGACTACCTCTAAAAAATTTCATTCAAAATTGGTACCATTATATATGTATGTTATTTGATGATTTTAAATATTATATCATCGCTTTCTGGTATTACCTCCAAAACTAAATATCATCGCTTTCTGGTATTACCTCCAAAACTAAAAGAAACATGAGCTGAAGGGAGGATTTAGCCGCACCATCCACACGATTACGATTCATACCAAAATCTACTCACCACCTTCACAAAAGATCTGCCATCTCTCCAATCATTTGAGTGATAAGTCGTAGTTCAAGGATTGACCATCACTTACCTTGAAGCAAACTGAAAGACAGTCGAGTTAAGTCGATCATTGGCAATAAAAACCTTCAACATACGGGTACCATTACAAATAAAGTTGAAAAAACGTTCCATTTTCAAAGCATCTTTGACATTTTCAAACCTAATGAAACCAAAATTTACTGAGCACAAGGGTGGTGCCTGATTGGTTTGAGTTTGACTCCAAAGGTCAAAAGTGTCTGGAGGTCCCAGGTTTAATTCCAAGAAGGAACAAAATTCCCCTTGTGGCTATGGAGGTTCAAATGCGGTGATTCCGGACTACCTGTAAAACAGGTGGTCATCCTGAGATTAGTCAGCTCGCATAGCGGATTAGATATCCAGGTTAATAAAAAAAATTACTGTTGTTTTTTGGCCGTCGATTTACCAAGTAAATGTGTGAAAGAGATCCGTAATGCTTGAAAACTTTCTATAGACTAAAATATATAATATAATATAAATTTGTAAAGGAAGTCAAGGAAATTGGTAAAAAGAAGAATAAAATACCCTCAACTAACGCGCTATCCGTTAAGGGTATTCAGACAAATAACTATGGGTGTTTATGGATTGGATTGATCGTGTTGAAAAAATTTAAACAACTTAATTCGTTGTTTGCGGTTTGAAAAATCTTAACTCAATCCAATCCAAACCATACGGGTTGGTCGAGTTGATATTTTGATATATTAAAATATTTTTAACATTGAATATGTTATTTCTCTACTTAGAATTTCTTTTTCATCATTAACTATTTGATACAACTTATTCATACTTCTTACGTATAACACATTCAATTAATTTTCTCAATTTAAATATATATGTTCATAGTTACTGAACATATATAAGAATGAGTTATATAGATATGTGAATAGATTGAAAATATGTATATATGCAGAGCGTACGCGATAATGTAATTGTCTAACTTATATATTAATAGAAATTCAACAATCATATTAAATTCAAGAAATAAAAAAATATCGGGTTCATCGGGTTGGGTTGAGTTCAAATAATAATTCAATATCAAACCAATACATACAGTTTGAAAATTTTACAACTCGATTAGACATTAGGGTTGCTTCGGCTGAGTTATTTCGTGTTGGGTTAGGTTGGGTTAATCGAATTGATCGGGTTGGTCGGTTTTTTAAGCATCCTTACAAATGACCTATTTCAAAAGGAAATTTAAAATCTAGAAAACTTTTTATTCAATTTTCAGATTTTTTTATTAAACCACATGATCTAACAAATTTCTAGAGTCTGTCACATTATTTTCGCTTCAACAAAACAAAAATCTCCGTAAAACCCCACAATCGAAGTTTTTACAAAACCTCACTTTCTATTTTTAATATATATATATATATATATATATATATATATATATATATATATATATATATATAGGGTTGGGTTCACGTGAGATCAGGGGCTTTTCGTGAGACTCATAAGATCAATTTATGTTCATTGATCAACTTTATAAACTAATGGTCCAAAGTTGCACGGTGGTAATTTATGATTATTGAGAAGTCTTGTAGCAATTTTGTGATTATGAATGTTCAGATTGTAGATCTAATCCAAAGGTTGAGAATTGGTTTTACAGGTCTTACGGAAAACTCTGGTCTCACATGATCCCAAGTCTATATATATTATGGAATAATAAAAAATTCAAGGCTTAAATGCATGAAATACACAACATATTTTCATAAATTTTCTTATTATAACATTATATTTTTGTTTTTTTATTAGAACAATGTACTTTCAAATTATTTTTTTATTAAGGCATTGCACTTTAAAAAATCTACCCATTATAGCAATGGGTAACCTGTTACTTTTTAAACCGGTTAACCCCTTGACTTTCTTTGCTTATGTGACTTTAACGAGGTGATGTGGATGACACATCATTTTGATAACTTAATTAAAATAAAAATAAAATCTATTTCAAAATATTATTAGTGATTTTCATTTTTCAATGTTATGATTTAAAAAACATTTATTTATTTTTTTGACTTTTTCTTATTAAGTTGCATACAAATTAAATATTCTAAAGTAAAATATTTCTTAAATAAATATGCTACATTATTTTCGAGATATATTTTGTTTGTAAAAAATGTAACACTTCTTATTTTATGTTGTTAAAAAAAAATACATATATTTTAAAGTTTTTTCTAAAATGTTAACAAAATAAATTGTGTTCTAATTTTTTAATATTGTTATAAAAAAGTCTAATTAATTTAATATTTATACGTCAAATAAAAGTTTTTGAACAAATATAATATATTTTTTAAAAGATAATATTTTTGGTAAAAAATGAACAATTTTTATTTTCTTTTTTCAAAAAACACATATTTTTTTAAAAATATTAGCAATATAAGTTGTCTTCTACTACTTTTATTAATATTGGTATATTAATGAATAATTTAGAATTTCTCTAATTCATTTAATATTTATTAAATAACATGTAAAATATCTAAATATTAAAATTAAAAGTACATTGTTTAATAAGAACTAGTAGATGCTATAATAAAATAATTTTGAAAGTACAATGTTGTAATAAAAAAGTGACATTACTATAGTACATGTGGACAACCTACGTGGACAATGAGGTGACATAAAAACCTGATATAATGGGTAAATTTAAATCAAAAGGTTACCCAATGTTGTAATTGGTAAATTTTTCAAAATACAATATTCTAATAAAAAATAGTTTGAAAATACATTGTTGTAATAAGAAAAACTAGAAGTACAATGCTATAATAAATAAATTTATGAAAGTAGATTATTATTTTATGCATTTTGCTCAAAATTCAAATATAATTTATTTATTTGCACTTTTCTATATTAGTTTTAATTTAAACCTATTAATACAAATTTTAATTTTACATATTAATATAAATTTAACCGAAAAATAATCTTCCAAACATAGTAATATAATAAGATACTTAAAAATTAAACGTATATTGTATAAAAATCTAAAAAAATATTTTATAATAATTAATTTATATTTTCTTTATTAATTTTAACTTATATATTTTATAGGTTTACTAAAAGAAAATAAAATGATTAAGAAATAAAAATAATAATAACAGAAAAGAAATATATACAAGAACTTATGACCGAACAAAACATTTATCCGACAATAAAGGTTGTCATAAAAACCCAGAGTAACCTAATAATGGATGCTCTTATAAAATGGTTCCAAAGAACAAATGTACCTGAATAAATGAAACCTTTTAAATCAATTTATTAAGAAATTCAAAAACCAAATTCGTACTAACCCGATTGTTTAACTCGATACTCAAACATGTTGGTTCTAACTTCAAATCGAGAATTTAACCGTCAGGATTTAAGTTTTGACAATTTCTTAATCGGACTCGTTGAAAATCTTTATCATAAACCGAGAATTTAACCGCCAACATTTTCGACATCAACTGTATGTATAATCGAACGAATCACCATAAACCATGATTCAAGAGATCATCGAGCATTTTCATGGACGACTAATACCATTAAAAGGAAGTGTGTTATATGAACGAAAAGAAGATAAAAATGGTTAAAAACATAGCGTTTAGAACAAAGTAGCAGCGAGTTCAGTTACTTCTGAAGCAACTTGGTCGTATTCTGCTTTCAGCTTTTGTTGTTCTTCTTCTCCAAGCTCCCCCTTTGTTGGTTTTGTTAGAACCAAAACGCAGCATGTTGGCCGCTTGGTGGCACCTGCATTTGCCAAATCCTGCGACCAACGTTTTCAAAAACCATCCTAAGTTTTACCAAATCAAAGCGTTTGCAAGATGCAATAGCGGTATAATCACTTTCTAAAACATATATACAGATCACTAGTTGACCACAAGGGTCTGTTCGATTTGCACGATTGTTTTTGAAGGATTTGGATTTGGATTTGGAGAGATTTGGATTGGAATAGGTTTGAAATAATTGGTGTGTTTAGTTTATAGGATTTGGAATGGAAATGGATTACATTATTTATAAATAAATTATAAATAATTATAAAAATAATTCAATTACATTTTTATTAATCAATTATTACAAAAAATATGTTTTTGACATTTTGAAAACCTTATTTCATACAATCCTATGAAATCCCGTGAAATCCTGAGCATTCTCTAAAGATTTCAAAATCCTATGTTTGTTGGATTTCAAATGCGGACAATCCAACAAACCAAAAATGAATTTGAAATTCAAATCTTCCCAAATCCATTCCATTCCTGCAAACGAAACGGGACCTAAGGGCTGTTTGTTAGCAGCTTAGTGAACTTAATAGGACTCGCAACTTATTCGATGAGCTATACATGATTGTTTGGTAGTGGCTTAATGATACAAAATGTGGCTTATTCACTAAGCTTCTAGGGGGGGCCTTTGTGCAGAAAGCCAAGTTTTTTAACAAACATACCCCTCCCAATTAAAAACATGCTTCTTCTATCTATTAAAAAACCTTTCCAAACAAACACTTTCCCAATCTATACAAACAGCTCTATCCACGGAACTTAATGAAAAACCAACTAAACAGCCCTTGACATCAAAAATAAACAAATGGGAAGATAAAATGGAGATAGAATAACAATGTGACAGTATTAGTCAATGGAGGTCTAGGGTTCGAATCCAGACACCCCACATGCCTAGACCGCATGATCTACCTCTCACCCTGATGGCCATGGGACCAGAGGGTGGAGTTGAACCTTTTTGGCAGAGAATATTAATCAGTGGGAAAAAAATCAAACTTACTTCTTTTGATGATACATAGACATATGGTATGTCTGCCTCCTCACACAATATTGGAACATGAGTTATCACATCAATTGGGGTAATGTTCCCAGCAATTACACACACTCTGCATTCACCGAAACAATCAAATAGTTAGAAAAAAGGGGGGTTGGGTTGTTCTTAGCTCCATGAAACATAAACCAACTACTCATGCTTAACGTAAAAAGGAAACGCTTTATTTCTGAACAAGATCCCACCCCATATCGAATCAAGCTGCGCTCTATAGAATCATTGAATCACCATGATATCAACACAACACATTATCCATATCAAAATAATTAGCCTATGCAGCATCCTTATTTTCACTACAAATTAAGAAAATATGGTTCGACCACAAAAAAACAAGCACTTGGCTTCCACTGTTTTATAGTCATCAACACTGGTGCAAGTTCCATCAACCATGCTTCTCATCTAAAGTTGATCATACAACTGAGTTCAGAAAGAATATATCCCATTGTTCCCCTAGCACACCCAAAGCTCCACACCTCTCCATGATCCACATTAGCACCACAACAACAACCAAAAAGATGCAATATTTGCAGTTAACTAACTAAAAAGGTACACATCACACATTAAGCAACAGTTGCATATAGAAACATTGATCAATTACCTACCATTGAATAGCATACAAGCAATTGCAACCACACAACCATCTAATTGTTGTCCTTTGTAGATTAACATATTGAAGTTTAACTCTCCAAATTCAAGATTGAACACATCGTTTTAGTTTTCTAGCAACTAACTTCCTAATAAATTCGAGTGGTTTATCGATTTTCTAGTTGAATCAAAAACAACATTTCAACAAATTTGAACTTAGAAGCAACTTATTAGACACTCGAAAGATTTACCCTTTATTACCGCGTCTGATACTCTTGACAACCTCCTTAACTCCTCGCTTTAAGCACTTGTGTTCAGCAGCTACATAACATTAAACCGTAACAACATTGTCATAAATCTAACAACTTTATAGCTAATAATCGAAGTCAAAAACCCATAAATTCTAAATCAGAACAGTCTGCGTGATCGCGTGTCGGGCGATTAGAATAGAGAGATGGAAAGGACCTTTGCGAACGAGTTTAAGAGTGCGTTTGGAGAGCTTTTTGCCAGCGAGAGGCTTAGCGATTGGAGCCAAAGCCAGCAACTTCTTCTTCTCTTTCTCCTTATGCGCTGATCTATCGCCTTCGCTATCGCTTCCTCCCATCTCTCTCCGTCTGTCTCTCTCACTCTCTCTCTCTCCGGGAAAGAGGCAAAAAGCAGAGTAGGTTTTTTCTGAGTTTGTTGTTAGGGTTTAAGGAGGTTGTGAGGGAGAGAAAGAACAGAGGGAGAGGGGTGTGCTTCTCACGTGCTTGTCTCACCTTCAATGGATTCGATTGGGACGGCCCATAAGATTTTATAGCCCATTTAATTAAAATTTTATATATTCCCACAAAAATGGGAATTTTGTTAATTTAAGGTTAATAAATGAGATAAATATATTTTTAATTAAAAATAAACTATAATTTAAACAAAATTTCACCCTTAAAATATGGAGTTCTATGCTATGTGTGTGATTACTGGGTTCATTTCCAAACGGATGCATCAGTCAGTGCTGGAATTGAGGTATCATTTCCTCATGATGTTATTACATGTTAGAAACGACCTTATGGAAAAAGAACTGGTGAAAATGACTTACAAATGGCTAGAATCGGTTTTTGGGCATGTAGAAAGTGAAGAATGTATTGCGTTTGATTCATCCAGGCAAGTTGGACATAAGCCATAGCACGAGTTGGTGAGCTTTAATTGCCAGCTTCTGAAGAAATTGGTGCGTCATGAAGAAAGTGGAATGAGCAAGTTCGAGTCGTCAAGGCGAGCATGCATTGGGCTAGGTGACGTGAGCTTAGAGCTCGCATTGGAGGTGTGTTGACGAAGTCGATGCCAATTTAAGAGAACTAAGTTTGTGATCTTACATAGACTACGCAAGTTCGAAAGCGACCGCAATAGAGGTTAACACTAATACTGAACGGAAAAATTATTGTACTGGAACAATGTCATCTTTCTCAAAACAATATCCAGTTTCTTGAAAGATGACAATGTTTCAATCCGGTAATTCTTTCAACTCAATAATGGTATCATACTTCAGTGTTGCATATTATTTTAAGTATTTTAGTTTTTGTTCAGTTGTTTATATCTTTAGCTGCTATTCGTTGTGAGACGCTCATAATTTCGGCTAGTAATCCTTGATGATTAGTTCGCGGCTTACGAAATAAAGCGTGACAAGTCATACGCAAAGATCCCTTCTTATCATAGCTTTCATTCTTACTGAAACCAACCCTTACTTTAAAAAAAAAAAACATATAAACACTAATTTTACAAGGATTTGTTGAATACCATATCATTCTAAGTGGTTTGAAAAGTGAATTGAAATGAGTTACATCAATAATAATATTTTCATATTTTTTTATAAATAAACTAAAAAGTTTATTTACGAATAATCCTCTGATTTTACGAGTAGCAGAAACAAACATAGGTGTTTTCCGACATCAGACGCCAACGATGAAGGTCAAAGGAGCGTTGAGTCGATAATCATAAGGGATAATTCAAAGATGACGATGGTGACGAAATTATCAGACACAGAAATAGGATTAAAATTTAAGAGATATAACATGAATAAATTCATTCATAAAAATGATATTCAAATTTCATGGTTATCATATCGATATGAATACATAATTTAATGTTTTCTATTTTTAAAGTATAATTTAATGGTTCCTCTGTCTTAAAATAAAAGTTTGCAAAAAGAAAAAAAAAACATTTAATTTTTAATTTTAAAATGTGTAATTATTACAATTTTTTTTTAATTAACTAAATAAAGTAATTTGATTCATCTCATAATTAAGTAGTAAACTCGAAAAACAGACAAAAATATGGACATTTTTTTATTAACCTAGATATCCAACCTGTTATATGAGCCGACTACTCCCAGGACGACCACCTGCTTTGCGGGTAGCCCGGAGTCACCGCATTTGAACCTCCGTGGACACAAGTGCATTTTTTATTCTTTCTTAAATTTGTACCTAAAACCTTCAGACACTTTTGATCTTTAAAGTTCAAACTCAAACCAATCGAAAACCATCTTGTGAATATTTGTTTTGATATAAACTAAAAAAAATGTGAATATTTACATCATTTTAAAGTAAATTTTATAAAAGAATGTGGTGTATTTGCTAAAATTAGAAAGAGATGTGATTCCCGATATGTTTAGGAACCATGATGGCGGTTAGGATAGCCATCCACTTGATACACTAAGTATAGCATATAGCATAGTATAATATTAAGCATACCCATCCTCTATCCATTTTTCTATTAACCTGGATATCCAACTTGCTATACGAGCCGACTAATCTTAAGGTAACCACCTGTTTTACAGATAGCTCAGAGTCACCGCATTTGAAACGTCTATTGCCACAAGAGGGTTCTTGTTCCTTCTTAGATTTGAATCTAGGACCTACAGACACTTTTGACATTTGGAGTCAAGCTCAAACCACTTAGGCACCACCCTTGTGATTACCTCTATTCATTTTTTTATTAACTTGAATATTCAATCCATTATGCGAGCCGACTAATCCAAAACGACCACATGCTTTGCAGATAGTGTAGAATCACCTCTATCATTTTAAAAATGTCACAAATCATAAATGGGTATAAACACATTATTCATAACTTTTTAGTAAAATAATTTGACATAGTATAAAATTCAAATATATTTTAGGCATGTTCTTTTTTTTTTAAATTTAATTTTATATTTTGTTTAATTAACCTTTAAAGATATAATATAATTCAAAATCGACGTATTTCTAGAAAAAAAACATATTGAAATTGCCGTGTGTATGTATATATATATATATATATATATATATATATATATATATATAGGGGCCTAATCAAATGAGAACTAATTAGTTTGTGGTAACTGTGAGAACCAATATTAACCACAAATCAATAGATAAATTAGGAAATTTATAAATTTGGTAATTTTAAATTAAAATCTTAATGCAAGGATATTTTTGGTATTTTAAAACTTTCCTCCCTCCTCTCTTCTCTCTCCGGCCACCGTTCTCCGTCCTCCGGTGATACTACTATGATACCACTGTGATACCTAAAAATATTGACTCTGTTAAACAAAAGATACATTGTGATACCTAATCATATATAAGATGCATAGTGATACCACTGTATTACATCTTCGATCGACCACACAAACGACATCAATGTGATACCCAAGCACATATATGATGCATTGTGATACCATTGTAGTATCACCGGAGGACGGTGGTCGGCGGACGGTGGCCGGAGAACGGTGGTCGGCGGACCGGAGAGAGAAGAGAGGAGGGAGGAAAGTTTTAAAATACCAAAAATATCCTTGCATTAATATTATAATTCAAAATTGTCAAAATTATAAATTTCTTAATTTATCTATTGATTTGTGGTTAATATTGGTTCTCACAGTTACCACAAACTAATTAGTTCTCATTTGATTAGGCCCCAATATATATATATATATATATATATATATATATATATCGGGGCTGGTTCAAATGCTAACCAAGATTATCGTGTTAACTTTGTTAACCGGTCTTGACCGTTAATTTAAATAATTAACGGTTGTGATTTAATGATATTTAAAAATTAATTATTAAATTAATATTTTCAATTAACATATGTGAACAAAATATCAAAGGGTATTTAAATAAAAAATAATCTATCTTTGATACACGAGTTGTCAGACATATGAACAACTTGTGTATATCTTCAAACCACATCAAACAAAAAAGATTAGACATGTGAACATGTGAACCGTATGAACAACTTGTGTATATCTTCAAACCACATCAAACAAAAAAGATTAGACATATGAACAACATGTGAACCGTATGAACATTTTCTGTATATTCAAGAGTCAACTCTGCTATATGTACATGAACACCTATGAACCAAGACATCTAGGGATGTGTGTTTTCATACGTGTTCACATGTTTTCACATGTTATGTGTGTGTGTGTGTGTATGTATTCATATGAACATCTAGTGACTTGAATATACATGAACACTTATGAATCACGACATATAAGGCTGTGTGATTTCTGATGTGTTCATATGTCAAAGGTGAGAAATGTCGATTAAAATAAATGTGAATTATAAAACATGAACACGTGTGAAACCCCAATGTCAATATTGCATCATGATCAATTGTGATATTTTCAAATTTGTAACTCCCAATTAATTATTTGGGAGTTACATAAAATGACAAATTACTTCAATACCCTTGTATTTAATATATGAGTTACATTTGAACTAAATGAAAAGATGGAATATAATTAATTGAGCTTGGTTAACATAGTTAACACAAAAAAATTGGTTAGTATTTGAACCAAGCTCTCTCTCTCTCTCTCTCTATATATATATATATATATATATATATATATATATAGACTTGGAATTATATGAGACCAAGGCTTTTTCGTGAGACCCGTAAGACCAATTCTCATCCCTTGGATTAGATCAATCGTCAGATCTGAACATTCACAAACACCACGAAACTTCTCAATAATCACAAAATTGTCACCGTTCAATTTTAGACCATTAGATCATTAGCTTATAAAGTTAATCAATGAACGTAAATTGGTCTTACGGGTTTCACGAAAAACCTTTGGTCTCACGTGAACCCAACTATATATATATATATATATAAAAGCATTGTGCAATACTCTTCCATGGCTCCCTTCACAAATCCAAATATGGCAACCTCACAAGTACAACCATCCATGCTTTCTATTTTTGTTGTATTCTTTTGTGTTTATGGAAACGTTGTCTATGGACAATTTACCAAATTTGATAAGTTGACATTGCCTCGAGGTGTCATCGGTCCCGAAGCGGCTTCATTTCGTGGATTCATGGCTGAAGGCCCCTTCACGACCGTCATTGATGGTAGGATTATGAAATGGCAAGGCCCGAACATCGGTTTTGTGGATTTCGCATACACTTCACCAGCAAGGTCAACTTCAACTTCTTGTGTATAAATAAATACATTTTTTTTTATAATCGTGGGTGTTCAGGCCAATTTGCGGTTTCCGCTCACCTCGACTAGTCCATAAGTCTTTGTAAGTAACAATGATGTAAACCTCTAGTGGCCCTGAAAAAACTCATACTGGTGATCATGGGGAAGCAAACCCAAAGTCTTACCATCTACAAATAATTACGTTTATGAACACGATAATTAGAATTTTGTATGCCTAATTGGAACTCGTTTAACTTATCAAGATTTGAATCATTTTTTTAAATAATTTTTCAGGACAAAGCAATTTTGCGATGGTACAACAGATCCTGACAAGGGTCCGATATGCGGAAGGCCGTTGGCTCTTAGTTTTCAACCCATAACTGGCCTTCTCTACATAACAGACGCCTATTTTGGCCTTCTAGTCGTAGGCCCTAATGGCGGGCTTGCAACTCAACTCGCCGGTGGTTTCAAGTTTGCGTCCGGCCTCGACGTTGACTTGTTAACCGGATATGTTTATTTCATTGATGCTAGTTTGACTTATGAAATCAGGTAACCACTTCAGTTCCCATCATTTTGTGTACATCTTGTAGAATTTTAGTAAAGTCTGCATACATATTACCTTCAAGATCATACTTCCTGGATGGGATATACTGGTTTATTTGGTTATGGTGGGCAGAAATACTTCACAAACGGGATTTAACTACGATTCAACGGGGAGATTTTTGCGCTACAACCCACTTACGAGACAAGTGTCAGTTTTGCTTAGTGGTCTGTCAGGCGGGGGTGGCCCTGCCGTGAGCGCGGATAGCACGTTTGTTCTTGTACCAAAGCTCACTGGATTGCGGGTTTTGAAATATTGGTTAGTTGGGCTTCGGGCGAATACAACACAAGTTTTGGTAAATGTTGCTGGGAATCCTAATAAAATAAAACGAGCAGAAAGGTTGGGAGAGTTTTGGATGGCGGTTTCAGTTGGACAAGTTCCACGAAGGCCTCCCATCACACCTCAAGGAGTGCGCATCAATTCGAATGGGGTCATATTGCAAACAGTGTCGTTTGCCACAGAGTTCTTCAATAAAACAATCAGCTTGGTTCAAGAGCAGAGTGGAAAACTTTATGTGGGCTCTCGTTTCACCGATTTCATAGGTGTCTATTCTAACTAGACACCTATGTACTGTACCACTAAATAAGGTTGATATGATAATTGAATAAAATAAGGGAGTAAATTACAATTTTGGTTCCTGTCAAATGCAAAAAATCTGGATACCATCCCTAAAACATATTAATTACAAATTTGGTCCATGTTGTATGCATTTTGCTATAGGTTTGGTCCATCAAAATAACAACTGTTAAAAATTATGGGTATCACCCCTAACTTCGCTTGGTGCAATAGAAACAACCTCATGACTGAGCTTAAGCTAGCTTTCAGTTTTTGTGGCTCACAAGCAAGCTCCAACTTGCATGTGCCATTGTTTTTGTGATATTATATGTGTGGCCTCATAATATCACTTTTAAGCCTGCATCCATTACAAACGCTGATTTTCAAGCTGAATGAACTAAAAACCACATGAAACTCATTTCTAACTCTATTTTACTTATTCTTTTTGCTTATTTTCAACACGCATACTAATACCATAAGAAACTAAATCATCAGTCGGGCTAACAATTACCAGTTTTGAGTTTAAGCTGATCATACAAAACATGTTATAAACTCCATTTTGATCACATTCATAGCCTCTGATTTCATGCCATTCTTGTAGAAGGCACTTAAAACAAATGTTAAGATATTAACCGTTTTCTAAAACATGATTTGAAGTTATTTTTGTACTTCCATTTTATTGGTTTTACATTAACACTTGGAAAAACTTATGCTTCGTTTTTGCTTCCAAAAATCAGTATCTCTCTCTCAACTTTCTTATGATTACTACTGATACACAATGAGTGAACAGATGACACGTAAGTATCTGTCATTTTAACTTATTTGGAGTATAACCCTTGTTCTTCAAGGGCAAAGATTTTCAAATTATCAAGAGGTTTGGATCAATACCAACCAATCCCTCATTCTCAACTTTCATTTAAATGCATAACTAATCCCTCGACTTTCCCTTAACGTTATATTGCGGTTGTTAACAACCCGTTCACTCGTAACTAATACTCAAAACCAATATCGGAAAAAACTAAATAGAATTTTGCTTACAAACAATGCATGTTTATATCAGAACAAAAAAACAAACTGGTACTGATTTATTTTTCGTTCTTTTGCTACTCTTTCAAGCATTTGTTCAAACGAGATCCAAAAATTAAATTTTAATAATTATACACATCCCTAACAATTAAATTTAAAAAACAAATTATATAAAAAAAATTGATGACGAAACTGGGTTAAATTTTTTGTAGGGACAAACCTTCTTTTTATTGGGTGTCGGAACATAATATACAGTTATAAAAATTAAAAATTTATAATATAAAAACCAAAATTTACAAAAGTTTATGGGGATCAATTGACCCCCTTAAGCAAGCTGTAGGTCTACCAATGACCACATGAAAAAGCATACATGATTGGTTTGAGCTTGGCTCTGAAGGTCAAAAGTATCTGGAGGTCACAGGTTCAAATCCAATGAGGAATAAAAATTCCCTTGTGGTCACGGAGGTTCAAATTCAGTGACTCCGGGCTATCTGCAAAGCAGGTGGTTGCCCTGGGATTAGTTGGCTCGCATAGTGGGTTGGATATCCAGGTTAATAAAAAAAAATGACCACATGAAAACCGCAAATATATTATGAACTTGTAAAAATCAATCCAAACTATTTAATGAGTTTGATTTAAATCATTACTTACGTGCCTATATGTACGTGAATACATATTCTAACTTCTTTGATAAAACAAGTCAATAGATTGTAAGAATGTGAATACATATTTAAAAATATTTTAAACTTTTTTTATTCAACTTATTTCGTTTTTCTTTTATCCATTTGATCCTATAGAGGAACCATCGTCTCTCGTCAATTTGTCAACTCTGGTAAGCTGACATTGCCTCAAGGTGTTAGCAGTATTTCCAGCCAAAGGTTCCTTTACTGATGGTAGGATTATGAAATGGCAAGACCTAACATCCATTTTGTTGATTTTGCTTACACTTTCACCCGCTGATCAAGTTATGTTTATCACGTATAAATAATTATAACTGGAACTCATTTAATTGATCTGAATTTGAATTATTTTAGCATCAACATAGGCAAACTTTATATTTTTTTTACCAATAACATTTTCAGGATAAAGCAGTTTTGTGGTTGTACGATAGATCCCAATAAATCCTCGATACGCGAAAGGCTAATGGCTCTTAGCTTTCAACCCAAAACTAGACTTCTCTACATAATCTATGCTTATTTAGGCCTTCTAGTTGTAGGCCCTAACAATAAGCTTGGAACTAAGCTCGTCGGTGGTTTCAAGATTGCTAGGGGACTAGATGTTGACTTGTTAACCGGAAATGTTTATTTCAACGATGCTAGTTTGACTTATGGAATTAAGTAACTACTCTCTAATGTGTTATCGCACCTTTGAGTTATAATCAGACGTATATGAGTAATCTAGGGTCGAATTTGAAAAACGCATGAATAACTGCATCTCCTGCAGTTGTTTGCAAGTTTTATTGGATTTTGTTTATATGGGTGATAACCGGATCCTGGTTATCACCCAAGGTAATTAATGTGATTATTTGATAAGTGATTACGTGATAATATGATAAATTTGTTATATTTAATCATGCTAGTGTGTGAAAATTATGTGCATAATGTAGATGCATGTATGAGATTATGTGTATGTGGTAAGTCAAAGTGAAATGCATGTATAATGTGATATGTATGTGAATATTTATACGTAAGCATACATGCGTATTATATGAGTGAGTATGGATGCATGTCATGTGTATGCATGATTGTGTGAAGTAAAGTGTGTGTACGTGGGAAAGGGGCTGTTTAGCCGACCTTCCTGTTTTAGAAAGGTATAAAAGGGAGGGCTTAGCCTCCATTTCTCTTCTTCTTGCCATTTTTGAGCATTTGTGCGATTTAAAAAGTGAAGTCTTGACCGGATTACTCCTGGATTAAAGATCAAATTAACTTCAAGTATTTGGTTTCAAAAGACTTTCAAGGTGAATGATTCTTACTACTTTTAAACTCATCAGAATTGTATAATTGATTGTAGAACTTTACTTTTGATATAAAAGTTATCCGCTGGAGTGTTGTCCGGATTAGCCATAAACCGGACAAGTGTTAAGCGGTTTAGCCATAAACCGGACAAGGATTGGGCGATTTAAACCCTAAACCGGTTAAGGCTTAAGCGATTTATAAATAAACCGCTTAATGAGTATTGTCCGAATTAGACTTAAACCGATCAAGAGTCAAGCGGTTTAGTCTTAAACCGAACAAGTGTTGAGCGATTTATGATCTTTGAGTTTATATCAAGTATTTTGAACGGAGAAGTATGAATACGACTATTAAGTGGCCAGTTTATTTTAAATCGGACAAAACCTTGAGTTATGAGTTGTCCGGATTGATAAATCGGACAAAGTTATGTGAAGTATCATCCGGATTTGTTATCCGGATAAAGTTGACCGGATTAATGGTAAATCGGACAAGTCTTGGGCGATTTATTGTTCGGACTTGATAAATCGGCCAAAACTTAACCAGAGATGAAGTCCGACCAAGTCTAATATGACCAGATTTGTATTTTGACTTGTTTATATATATGAATGAGGAATTTTGAAAAGTTAAAGTTGAATTGATGATAATTCCATAGACTGCAGTCTAATTCTATATGGAATTGTTTTTGTGAAATGTTTTGATGAAGAAATAAGTATGACATATCAAGGAGAGGTGTACCATGGGATAAAGGTGACATATCAAAGGAGGGGTGTACCATGAGATAAATGTGACATATCAAGGAGAGGTGTACCTTTGGATATAAGGGTGACATTTATGTGTGTTATGTGATATAACTCTTACTATTATATCTTTTAAAATCATTGTGGTCTGGAATCTTTATTTCTTTGTGATTTAAAGATTTAGGATCAGAGTTTTTATTGGAAATCATAGTCTGGAGGTTATAGATGAAGAAATAACAGGTTTGGCCTGAAACTTTAGATAAACCTTGTTTAAATGAAAAGGTTTGAAAAGTGGCATGATATAGAACCTGGTTGATTCAAACCTATAAAAGTTTGAAGTATGTTATCTGAATAGCTGAATGTTTGGCTTGAAAAGTGGAAAGGTACTGGTAATATGTCTTTATTTGTTCATATATTTGTTATATATATGAAAACTTATTTTGTACAAAGTTTTGGTGATTTTCATCTTGCAATGGCATAAATAGGATAACTCACTAGACCTTTCGGTCTAACCCTCGTTTTTTGATTTTAAATACGTATTGCAGGAGGTATGGACAGTAAGAGAAAGAGGAAAATGTGATATTTTCCTATATGCATATCTGCATGAAGATTTGTCTATGATGTATAGTTTTGATTGATGAATGTTGATTAGTACAAGAAATGTATTTTGAATTTTTGGGACATGTATTCTGTATGGTAAATTCTTGTACTAAGGGACCTGAGTGGTATATAAACATGTATTTCTTCCGTATGAAGTATATGTTACATGCAATGTGTGGTATGGGTGTTACAATGTTCTATGACTCAGGGGTGAAATTTTGGAATTTTACGAACTTGCTTTATCGTGTGTGTCGCATATGAGAATTTATTGAGAATTTTATTTCATGCGGTTTTATCGACTAGATGTGAAGATTTTGGTAATGATTCGTTTGCGTAGTCTTTTCCTCTTGAGTTTTATGCAAACTATGTTGCTACATATAAATTGCGTATTATTCTATTTTGAGCTTTCTTCACAATATTTTAGTTCGCGTTTTAGAACGATGAAAATATATTGTTATTTGGCTCTAAATTTCAAACCAGCAATAAATTATTTCATGTTTTTACCAAAACGCATATACATATCATCTTACTGATTTTGAGAAATAAACTGACTCATGCGAGTCTTGTTGGGGAATCCCATTCCATGTCGTTTTATGGCTAAAAGAGGTAAATTGGCATATTTGTTAAGTTTTGCACTTGAAAAACCTTGAACTCATTAGACCCATAGATTTGAACCCTTTTGTGAAAGGAGTTCTGATTATGGACTAGAGGAGTCCTTATGGTTGGTTTGAATTTCGGATTCTAGTTTGAACAATCGGTACATATAAGGAATTTTGAGGTATTAGACTTATGAGTCATTCCAGTTGAGTAGTGATCTTTTCGTTTCGGTAAACCTTCGGGTTTGTAACTTTGTGTGGTTGTTTGCTTTGTTTAAGTTGATTCGATGGATTGTCTAGATGGCATCATGTTCATTATCTGGGGTACAGTCATTTTGAAGTTGATTCAAAGCCTTACAACTTTAACTCTCGAAATACAACCCATAATTGAATAAAAACCAATAAAACAGTGAACTAGATATCACATGCGTGGTTTTCCAAGAAATGAGGTTGAGTCTTCTTCAAATATTGATCTTCTACACTGATGTCAATTGGTGTTTACCCCGATGATTACAAGAAACAATGATATAACATTAACACAATGCAAATAGCAAATCAGTCGACTTGTCTATTGATTCAAATCGTGGAATACAAAATAATGGGTTTGCCTTGGCGGCTGCTTCTCAATAATACGTTAATAATACAATATGAGTTGACCTACTCTAGAGACTATTTACATATTTGGTCCTTCTACTCTTACAAACAAAATATAAACCTACATTCCTTACCCCTTAATACCCTCAACCAAAGGCGCCCTTAGAGTATCTCTAAACAGATTCGTTAAAATGAAGATTTTGGTGATTTTTGATCTAAGACCATGGATAACTCTCAATTTTGAGAGTTATTTGTTGTTCAATACTTCTATTTTTATGTGTTTTATGTATCCATTTTGCCTCTATCTTGTATTTTTGGTCTAAAAGATTTTAAGAGGTGATGAAAGGTCAATGATTTGATTTTATTATGAAAAACCGTCACTGCTGGAAAATGTCCACTTTCTGCCAACTTCGATATTTTCTTCAAATTGGATTTGGATAAGTTTAAATACTTGTTTTGATGGATATTTAAGAGAATTAATTTTGCAGTTAACTCTGGAAATCTCACAATATTTAAAGGGAGGAGTTGTATAAAAAAATGGCTTAAAGTGATATTTTCCCTTATTTTAAGGGAAATGTCATCTTTAGCTTTTTCATCCTTTCAAAAAAAGATGACAAGGCCTAAGATTTTGCAAGATATATAATGAAGTCTTTGCCCTCAAGATTGAACAAAGGCTTTCTTCCTTTGAGTAAAAGAGACGTCCATCTTCCTCCTATAAATTGAAGCATTTACTCTCAACTGAAGATCTGGAGCAGTAGTTTAAAAACTTTCTGTATTTACTTCTTGCCTTGTATTTAATTTTTCAGCTACGTTTCTATCCATTGTATACCCATTGAGGGCAACAGTTTTAGTAATCTCAATTCAAGTATTTCTTATACATTTCTCTTCTTCTTCTATGTTCTGTAATTTTATTATGAGTTAATCACCCATTTTAGGTGTGGATATGAGTCAAACTTAATTACTTGAAGGCACACTTAGGTGTTGTCATTGTTATTCATTCTTAAGCTTGGTCACTTTAAGTCGGAACTTAAGCTCAACGCAGATAAGCCGATCACTTTAAAGTGTTAATATTAGATCCCTGATCTAGAGATGGACGGATTCGAAATACGGCTTAAGTGATGCACAAAGATTTGAGAGAGTCTTTGATAATCATGTAGGGATACGGATTTTGCATGTTTTTAGCTAATGTTCATATATTAGTCGAGATTTATACTACAAAGAGATTTGAGTATAAATCTTCAGGCTAGTGGAACTAGATATCTTTTTATCACTTAGCTAATTCGACAAGTTTAAAATTGATAACAGTGGGCACTCCGTAGGTACAATATATGAAAATTCACTTTCGAGAGATTGTAGTTTTTATAAAAGTCTCATGAGTTTCTAACCATACTGTTCCTACAATCTTCTTAAGGGAAACTTACACCCATACATATCTCTTAATTTGAAAAGGTTTATTTCGTATTCTAAGCTTTTTACCAGCAAAACTCAACTTTTATTCACAAACCGAAACATGCTCAAGAAGTCCATGAAACTCTCTGATTCCCAGTAGTCAATCCCTGTGAAAACAATCTTGGTACTATACCACTTTATTACTTGAAGCGATCATAGTATCAGCGTACACTTGTACCGCTACTGTGGGGACTTTGTGCCCACTGTGTGAACACTTACGATTCCAAGTCATCAACCATCTTCAACCCATCCATTAAAAATAAAACACTAAAATCACTTAAATTTATGGGTTTATTGAACACTAAAAAAATCGACTTTAACCCTACACTAAAAACATGTTTAATATTATAATATATTTATTTATTATTATACTATTTTCTAAAAACATAATAATTATAATATAAAATTAATTTTTATGCTCAATAAGTAATTGTCACTTGATCTTAAGATAATTTATATAATAAAACATCATTAAATTAAAATGACAGTTTTGGATTAATAAATATTACATTTCAAAGCAAATTAAACTACAATAGTTCAAATTTTAAGTTAAAAACATAAAATAACTAAATTATAAACTTAGCACATATTACTTCTTATATTAAACTATTAATCAATATATATATATATAGACTTGGGATCATGTGAGACCAGCCTGTTTTCGTGAGACCCGTGAGACCAACATTTTACACTTGAAACTTCACAGCAAAATGCTGTGAAGGTGACTTTTTAAAACCTTCACAATGTTTTTGCTGTGAAGGTTCGACTTTTTTTAAACCTTAACAGTGTTTTTGCTGTGAAGATTACATGTAAAAATGTGGTCTCACGGGTCTCACGAAAACAGGCTGGTCTCACGTGAACCCAACCCTATATATATATATATATATATATATATATATATATATAAAGAGAGAGAGAGAGTTTAGTTCATTTGTTAACCCACAAAAAAATATTAACTTTATGAACTTTTTAGACCAATCACAATCTATTTTAGTATGATGTTCAACTCTATTCAAGAAATTAATGTGAAGAATATGTGTGTAATTTTTTCTATATAGCTCCTATTTCATTAATTTGATGTTGCATTATCATAAAATCCCATGATTTTTGTTTTTTTAATATTGTTTTTAATTTCCCATATTTTTAATGATTTGGTTAAGAGTTGAGTAACATAATTTCATTATAACATTTTTAATTTTATGATTAGTGGAGAAGACCCAATGTTAAGGTATACATTTTCTATAGGTGTACAATGTTAATTGTCTGTTAAGATAAGTGAACATTTTTTTATAGGTGTACAATGTTCATTGTCTATTTATAAAAAGATGAAACAACCAAAAAAACTTCTGTAAACAGATGTGAATATCCAAGCAATGCACATAACACATGTGAATATTCAAATACAATGTTCGTAAGTGAACTTATTGTTCATTATTGTTCATGAGTGAACCCATGTTCATATAAAGGGGAAGATGTTCATAATGATAAACCACAAGGGTGGTGCCTGATTGGTTTGAGCTTAGCTCCAAAGATCAAAAGTACCAGGAAGTCTCATGTGCAATTACAAAACAATGATATACACATAAGCAGTTCCAAAACATCCACATCTTTTTATGATTTTTTTTTCAATAATACCCTTGTTCGTATATGTTCATCTTAGATGGTAACGTATTATATTATGAGTTATTACAAAATTGTCATCATAAATGTCATCCATGATAACTCTTAAAAAATGATTACTTTTGAAAGAGAAATTATTTTTATTCTTCCAACAATGAGAAGCATTGAAATTAAACGTAAGTAATTATTAACAAAGGGGTATTCTTGATATTTCAATTTACAACTTATAAGTAATCAATTTGAATCAATTTAAGATTCATTTATGAACACATAAATCATAACATAGATTTACATGTATATCTTAATTATAACTTGTATATAAATCCATTTACATCTTATAAGCAAGATTTTGAAAGCAATTTAAGATTCATATGTGAATTTTAAAAAATATATATCATAGTTTTTTGTATAATTTATTTAAATAACATATGAATTATATTTTAGATAATTTAATTTAAAAGAAAATGAGTAATCTAATTATTATTTAAAAATTGAGTAATTATTTGAAGAAGAAAAAAAAGAGTAGATTAGTGATTTAATTATATTAAAGTTTCAAAATGTCCCCTCGAACTTTCTTAGGTTCTTTAAATTAGTCACAATTTTTCCTATATTTACATATTTTTCCCTTATGATCTTGGTCACTGAAAACTCTTGTCAAAAAGTAAGACTTTACTAAACAAGAAAAGCCCCTTCTATCTTATTAGTAAAGCGTTAACACACAAATGCTCTGAGGTTGAAAGGCAAGTCAATATGCAGATTCCTACCTGTATTTTTATTGTCTCGATTCGTCCACGAGCAATAGCAAAGCAGTCCTTTTCTCGAAAAAGAAAGAAGATTATATTTCTTATCTCGTCTTGGATTGGATTCACGTGAGACCAATCTATTTTCATAAGACTTGTGAGTCGTAAGTCCACAACAAAAACACTGTGAAAGTTTAGTGTTATTTTTGTGATCTCACGAAAAAAGACTGGTCTCATTTAATCCTTTGCTTATACTATTCACACACACACACACACACACACATACATAGAGGTGGGTTATTAATTATTATGCAACTCTTTACATTCCTACAACTCTTACAACCAAATCAGGAGCGTCCATTTGATCATCAACAGTTACCATTTGATCGGTTGTAACTACTCTTAATTAAAAAAGAATATAAAAAATGAATGATGGATAGGTGGGTTGCATCAGTTGTATAATCTAAAGGGGATATATTCGACCGCCCCTCTGGGCCTTCTTTTGGACAAATAACTGGCAAAATCAACTTGCTGACTTTCTACATGGGGCAGAAGGAAGTTATATGTACATAACACATATAACATCTTATGATTTACAACAACTGCTTAGAGGGTTGTTTTAGTTGTAATCCAAGAAATTCTGTGCATTTCTAGCTTTTTTTAACACAATTTGATACATGTAGAAGACAGAAAGAAGAATTAATTCTTACCTCGCATCAAAAGCTCAGCGAGTGTTGAAACCTGCAAGAAATCCCTCAATATCTTCCGGTTTTGCATTGGAGAGACCTGCATTATATTAAACCACCATTTCACTATACACTTAATAACACTATCTAATTAAGACCAAAAACATAGATTGATTGCTAGATATTACCATTCCCACCAATTATCCTTAACAAATCTCCGTTCGCTACGCACAATCTTTCAAACCTGGCTCGTTGGATTTCATCAGCCCTTTCTGTCTTTAGCCTCTCCACTTTTGCACGTAATTTTGTGGCAAGGTTTTGCAGCTCTGAAGAAAACAATGGTAGTTTCAACATCTTATACAAAATCTTGAGGCAAGAGGATTACATAAAGTACAAGATTTTGTTCACCAAGGAAGTCATACATCTAATTGCTATTTTAGACAGAGTTGTTGTGCAAATGCAGCGAATAACAGCTTACAACATTAAAAACTTGAATAAAAGCAAGTTAAGATCTAAATAGAGCCTTACGGCTAGGCCAGTTGTACAAAAATATACTCCCGTAGAAATGCCTGCCCTACCCTCTATAATCTCTATTACATGGAATCCTACTACGATAAGAAAACTAGTTGAAATACCAATTAACTTGGATAAGATGACATTTATCCTTTACTTTCTCCTAAAATATGTTTTCCAGCCCTTATCATTGGATTTATTTTCACCTATAAAGGACATAAGGAGTTAAGGACCTTGTAATACCTTTGAATGAACCATCATCGGGAAGTTGCTCAGACAACTTCATTACTTCATTAATTGAGGTTGCTTGACGGTTACTAATGACAGATTGTTTCTCCAATGCTTGGATCTCTCTCCTCAGCTCAGAAGACTCCTGTTCAGCCTGTGTACAAGATGGAAAACTTGTTTATCAACCATACCAAGTAACAAATATAAACCAACAATACTAACTGCATGCTACTGGGATTTTCTTACCAAAGTAAGTTTTGTTCTCAAGGAATCCAACTGTGCATCAAGATCAGGGTTACCAACAGCATCCTCAACATCCATTATATCACCACCAGATGCTTCGTTCTGAAGACAGAACAGTTATTGAATGTTGTATAAAGAGATATATATGATGAGTAACATATTCAAGCTTTCAATGTCCGAATTCAAGTGGAACTGCGGATGGAGAGGCAGAAGCAATCTAAAAGATGAGTTCCTTGTAAGTTTATATAAACTATGGATTAACTGTTGATTCCATCTTCTAATTTTTTTAACGTCTTCAGCTTAATATTTTAAAGGCTTCTTGGTTTTTATATCTCTACTTGTCAGTTGGATAAACTAACGACCTTATAGATCACTTAATCCCCCCCCACCCATATTAAAACTTCGTCACTCAGAATACGAGAATTGATATTACTCCAAAATCTTATACTAATATTGCTATTTATCTCCAACTAAAGTATACAAGTTTTCACATTATTGTAAAGATTAAAACCAGCCATAATGATCCCTGTCAATAATAAAGCTTGAAAATGCAAGACACATGGTTTGAAGATGTCAACTTCAGTACAGGGAGAAGCATAAACTTCTGAGGGAGAAAACTGCTAAAACCTAGAGAAGGGCATGCTTGCATTTGTTCCCAATGCTCAAAATTTCCCTCAACTGTGCAGACTGCAGTGTCATTCCAACTTGCCATATGCGCAAATGGGAAGAACTAGTAGAAATAAAAGATAGGATGGCCCTAAGATACATGTACACTTATGAGAGAGTAAAAAAGGTATGTTGTTTTGGCACTCCTAATCTTAGAAAATGCACTGATAACATTGTTCCTGCATCAGAAATCATAGGGAAATGACATCCATGGACTCTTTTATCGCATTGGATGTTACTCTTCTATATAATAGCATTCTTCTTCTGTTGTAATCAAAATACCACACGAATTCCTCATACACTAGATATTTTAAATCTCTGTAAAATTCCATGCAACTTTAATGTAGTGACCTTATCATTACAAACACCATCTTAGTGAAGTGCTTATGATGTTCTGTTATTTCTGTACACATGATCTTATGTTAACATAGATAAGAAGGCCATCCATGACGACAGAGGATTAATATGGCAAGCAAGGGGCCTTGAGACTATCACAATTGGAACAACTGCTGGTGAACATGTGACATAATAATGTAAATGGTACTTCTTCCTCTAGCATTGGATTTGGATGCCCATATAAATACGACTATTATCAAGACATCCTTACACATACAAATTTTAAATATCGATCTCCTATTCGGAAAGAAGAATCAAACTGCAAGTTTTCATCACCATGAAGATTATCAGGAACATAGAGGAATTATAACTCAAATTATAGTTGAACCAAGCCACATAAGTGATGTAATGCAGCATAGGAACATAACAAATACAAGGACATACATCTGTGGTCAGGGAAAATCCTTCTGGAACCACAAAAAAGCGAAGACAACAGTACTTCTCCCACATAGCCAGCCGCCTGTCCAGGGATGTTTGAATTGTGTTTCGGATATAATTCAAGCCCTACATGATAATGAAATGGAAAAAGAAACAGAACCGGTTAACCAAATAATACACAGTATGAAATATATAACAGCCAAAGTACTATACAAATGGAGAACTAAATCCATCTGCACCAACAGGTTAGGCGATTTGAAACAAAATCAAGAATAAAGGGGAAATAAAAAACATAAACAAGTGGTAGACCTTGGTTAAGTCTTCGGCCCTATCTGAATTATCGATCTTGAGTCGAGTTGATGCCTCCCTGTAAGAACACAGTAAACTTTTTGCAGGGTGAATAGAAGCTAATAACAAGAAGAGGATAGAAACTGACTGATGAAGATGATCGAAGGCGCTGTCAATCAATTCATCAACAATGTTTAGGGCCGCGTTTATGAACAGTTGAGGATTCAGGTTCAAGGAATCAAAAATCGCCTCGCTCTCACTGCCCTCCATCTCCAATCTCTTTTCCCCTTCTTTGGTCCTCGATATCTTTAGCAAACTAATAAACACAAGCATGTTTTAGCTATGATGATATTGTTTTATGAGGTTGATCGAATATGAACTCGGTCTCCCTTTCTACATCCAAGATCCAACACACAAAAACCCTATAGGGTTTAGCTAGGAGATACAGACATGGTGAAAATTTGGAGAATCTGTTAAGAAAATATCATTGCTAATATTTGTAATAGAAGCTAAACTATATAAAAAAACAAGTCCTCTGAAAATGAGAAACAAGTTAATATCAAATTATGTCCAATAAGAAGATCCATAAAGTTTGTCCCTAAAAGGCTTTCAAAATTAAGACTCCTAATCAAAGAGTTGCTATATGTTGGTGCAATAAATTTCCAGCACCATGAAGGATAGCCTCACTCTTGATAATCATGGATGGAGAGATAACAAGAACAATTATGTCACCACCAAGTGGGCATTTAAGCAAAGATGGTGTAACAGAATTGCACTAATCCCAAATGGCAAACAATAGCAAACTCCTGGAAGAAAATGTATATCCATTTGCCTGATATGGTTACATTAATCATGCTTCATTCTACAATGATTCCATTCTAAAAACATCATCAACCTCGTCAAACCACCATACATACTTGGATTACTTGATCCCTCCATGCCCACCCTCAAAAAGAAGAAACAATCAACAAAGAAAGTTACTAAGAAGAAACTTTCTAAAATTTATTTTCTTCTCTTTTAGCAACCAAAATCACCATTGAACTTCTTAATTTAGAACAATTTCTTCTTCTCAAGTCTCTTTAAACACTTCTTTTTTCTTATGAACATAGTTAGGAGTAGATTTATTGGCTTCAATATTAGAGGTTATGGAAGATTTTCTAGAACCACCCTTATATGCCATTACACTTTCTTGAACCCCTACAAACAAGTTAGGGTTTTTTCAACTTGCCTTGAGCATCTACAAGCTTGAGTTGAGTTTACAGTGAAAATATACTGTGTATAAGTTTAAAGTCAGGGTAAGGATTAGAAACAATTCGCAGTAATTTGTGGAACCATATGGTTTACTAATCAGAAAAAGCTCATAAATAGATGTGTTTTCGATGCCAATCCCAAAAAAATCAGGAAGCACGTGGTATCCAAACCAGTAAGACACAATCAATCCTAACTGGCAAAATTCTCTAAACCCCTAAACAGAGATAATACAAGAAAAGAAGCATTTTTAAATTGCGAAAAACAATTATAGATCGATTACTTCCAAACAAATTTAGGGTTTTTTCTCCTACATAGGATAGATTTATCCTACATAGAGGCTATATATACAAACAAATTTAGGGTTTTTTCTCTTGATTCTGAACCAGTGGTTCCAAGAAAAAAGAGGCAGGAGCAAAACAATTAGCAACCGATTATCAACTAGCAAGAAGTGAAGAAGCAATAGCAAATTTAGCACAAGTATCGGCAATTTACCGGAAAGGGGATCAGGCGTTGAGACTTGAGCGGCAGTGAGCAGTCTCCGGGGCGGATGTAATCGTCGAGGGGGATCTGAGTGAATTGATATGGAGCAGGTTTCGAAATTTCCCGCCAGATATAATCGAAATTTTCAGGGTTTTTCTTTGCCCGTCCCTTGTTTGGAACAAAACCAACCACTATTATACCCGTATTAACAAATGAAATAAAAAAAATATGTTAATCTGGTTATATTAGGGGTTGTTTGGTGGTTGCAGAATGATTAAGATGCACTTATAGTGTCAAATGAAATATAATTGTTTGATAATTGTTTATAATGAAATTACGGCGCTGAATGGTAAAGAGAGGTCTATGATACAAAATCATTCAGAGGGTTTCAGAACCATTAAGAGACCGACTTTTTTTTTCCAAACAAAATTTATCTTTTAATAGAACTATTAAGAGGTAAACAAACAACCCCTTAGTCATGCGTAGTCCGTAAACATGAATGATATCTTACACTTTTTGGTATTGTGGGCATAAATCATCTCTTCTCTTAAGAATCATAAATTACCAAGCTAGAACAACATGAACAGATTTATCAAATTTAAGTTTTTTTTTATTGAAGATGACAATAATAGAGACTAAGGGGTCGTTTACCAAATGCTTATCCAGATAAGCGTTTATCAAGTCACATTACCTTACCGATGAATATGGTAAGGACCACGAATCTTACTCGGTAAGAAAGAAACAAGGACCGAAAGTCTTATCGGGTAAGTGAGGGCGACGACTCTTACTATGGTAAGTGTTTATTGGGTAAACTGTTGCATACATGTCTTTTTGGTTGACTAAAGTCTTATCCACTAAGTAAGTGGTAGTGTTAAATTTTACCAGTAAGCACTTACCGGGTAAGTGTTTTGTAAACGGCCCCTTAAAGATGACTTTTGTTTACCCTCTAACATGTATAGTAATGATGATACTCTAAAATTTGGTTCATCACTATACAACAACGTACAACACGGTTTCCCCTCATACTGCCTTAGGAATCCCTCTTTTCTCTCTCAATCTATCAATCCATATGGTTTCAAACCAAAAAACCCTCGATCGTATTTGAGAGAAGCATGTAGAGGATTTCCTGCATCAGAGAGCACTCCATTTCTTTCTTTTTGGGTCAAGGGATGGATTATATCAACACATAAGCTTTTCTGGTACCTGTATCTAACCAAATTTTTGAAAAAAAGATTCCAAATCACATAATAAACTTCATGATAACTCAAGAATCCAGTTGAAAAAGGACCAAGAACACATCATGTAATGTCTTCAGAATTTCACAAAACTAAAAATTCACTACAACCACTGTATGAATTATAATTAAAGAGAAAGAAAAAAAGAAGAAAATGAAATACCTTATGTTTAGTTATGTGAGATAATGCTCGAGCAGTCTTAAACTAAAAGAGAGAGATCATAGAACGATTTGAGGGTATAGTTTTATACGGGATATGAATTTAAGATGGGTGGGTGACAGATTTGAAGGGCATATCGGTTATAAGCAATCCAATTTAGAGAGAAACCATTAAATCAGAGGAGTGGAGTGAAAAAGTAGGCCTCTTTGGAGGAAATGTGGAAGTGGTTGAAACTACAATATGATAATGAAATGTTCGGGGTTAAAATATGTAGTACGAGGGTTTTTGAGAAATTAACATGTGAGTTAAATTTTACTCATTAGATTGTTTATTTTGGTGTTAAATATTTCAAGTGTGTTAATGCATGGGAGGGGGAGGTGCCTGCTCATGCACCGCCCCCAAAACCTCCTCCTTCCCACTTACTATATATAGTAAGTTTAGTTGAACTAGGGAGAGGTTTTACCACTTGATATCAAAGAAGTCTCTTTGGCAAATTCATCAACAAAGGTAGAAGAGGAAGTATATTTCATAGCTGAGTTTCTTTTGGCAAAAGTGAGTTTTATACTGCTTTTGATATATCTGGTTGATATAACTTCACGATATATATTGCTAAAATTTTAGTACATGGTGTATGGATGGGTTTTTAATTGCATTACAATTATTGCTTTATTTCATCATTCAATGAATCACCCAAAGAAGAATGCTCATCGGACAAGGCATTATCCGATGAGGTCCCTCATCAGATAAGACTTTGTCCGATGAGGTCTTTTCATCGCCTAAAAGGTTAACCAGTAAGGATCCTCATCGATCAAGTGTTGTCCGATAACCTCCTCATCGATCAAAGTTGTGTCCGGTAAGGACCCTCACCAATCAAGTGTTGTCTGGTAACCTCCCCTTCGAACAAAGTTGTGTCTGGTAAGGACCCTTACCAATCAAGTGTTGTCCGGATAGAACTCCTCACCGATCAAGTGTTGTCCGATAACATCCTCATCGATCAAAGTTGTGTCAGGTAAGGACCCTCATCGATAAAGTGTTGTCTGGATAGAACTCGTCACTGATCAAGTTTTGTCTGGTAACCTACTCATTGATCAAAGTTGTGTCCGGTAAGGAACCTCACCGATCAAGTGTTGTCCGATGAGACCTCTCTCTAATAAAGTAGTATTTGGACTAAACTTCATCACTCATATTATGGCAATAGATGAAATAGCAAGGTAACCAAAATGTTAATTAAACGCTAAAATTCAGGTTTTAACTATTTTGGGATTTGTAGTAGATTATGTTTGTAAGAGGGTAATTCACTTTGTTAGTCCCGAAGGGGATGACAATAAACAGAAAGTAATTGTAGAAGGGGGGGGGATTGAATACAATTACACATATTTTTTTTTAACTTTTTAATTTTTATTGATGTATATCAAGAATTAACACACACAGAGATACAAAAGATGGATGCGGAAGATAGGAAAGGAAAACCTAATAGGTACAATCTTACAAGGAGAATAACTTACAAGAACAATACAAAGAGTTCTTGAAAGGAAATGAAGAACATTAAGATTTTCTTCGCACACAGGAGGGCAATGGAGTAGAAGAGAATAGCCGATTGCCTTAAGAATGCACTAAGTCATCTTTCAAAAAGCAGTTGTATGCATGGGAGATGCACACTGCCTTTTATACTGTCTTCAGCATTTAATGCATGGGGATACTTGTCACCTGAGGATAAGAATGCAGGGGTTGACTTGACCATTGTTGATATCTCATATTCATCGTGCACAACGTGCATACAACATTGTTCATGCAGAGACAAACTTTTGCAGAGATATGGTCAGTCTGTAGGAAGATCTTCTTTGGATGGATTAGTAGCTTCAAACAGCTACTCACAAATCATCAGTCCATGAAGATCTTCAATCTTGAGTCCATGAAGATTTTCAATCTTCGGTTCATGAAGATCTTCCTTCAATCGGCTTGTAGTTTTAAAATATTTTCAATCTTCAATTCAGCTACTCAGGAGTCTTGGTGTGTATATGTTGGTCATGTAAGGGTCTACAAGAAGAGAAACAGTTTCTAGAAAGGGGGGATGAATACAAGCACAATATTTTCAAATTTAAAATATATATTGATAGAGAAGATCAATACAGATTTTACAAGATTGTTTGCGGAAAGATAAGGTAATAAAAACCTATCTAAACAATCTTTGGTTACACACAAWGCTTTAGCAATTACAAGAAAAAAGTTGCTAAAAGAAAGATCATTTACTTTAAGCTAGAAGATGCTTGAAGTAAGAATTAGGTTAGAGAGAGAGAGATGCGCGCTCTCTGCATGGAGAAGAAACACTTCTATTTATACCCAGTGCATTAAATGTCCATTTAATGCAATATGGTAGGTTTAGAGTACGTGTCAAGCCTTAAGAGGAAGGCTTGTCCTTTGCTACAGTGAATAGTACAAAAGTACTATTTCTGAGCAGACATCCTTACCTAAAGTTGGTGGACAAAGAGTCGACTAGTCGGCTCCATATCGTACTAACTTTTGTAAGGGTATAGGTTTTGTCCTTTGTGTGCATAAGGACAAGACAACAACAATCGTGCTAAGCAAGCTTCCTTTGATCGCTGAATGTTGGAATGACCTGAATGTCTCATCATCATTCGCTGAAGCTTGAGCAGTCTTCACACATATGTAGACAGGCTTGTAATCACTGAATACCGCTTCAGATCACGTACTCGCCGGTCTCTAATCTTCAGTTTCAATTTTCGACGTTTGTTGAAGGTTCTTTGGTGTGAATGTTGTCTTCTTGAAGTATTGCTGTCTCTGATAGATTTACAATCCAAGTTCTTCAGTGATTACTGAACATACTCAGTGAAGATCGCTGGAACTGAAAATACAGAAACATAAATACAACGTATAGGTGCAAAGGGATTATCATCAAATCACTGAGAGAGATGATCAACAGTATATTAGACAGTTGATCCACAACACCGCATCGATGACCTTCTGTCTTCACATCGGCTAGTCTTCGATTTTGCCAATGGCTTAAGTATGTACCAAGACACCAATATACAAAGAAACCAATAACTACTAAGTGTTGCTAAGGTAGAGGAACAGATCAGTGAGTCATCACCAAATCAATAGGTGACCCAACACACTCACTAAACCATTTGGTCTAACCCTCATTTGTTGCAATAAATTGTTTTGCAGGTCATCAAACATCTCATTATAAAGGCAAAAGGAAGATGTAGAGAAGAAAATTTGGAAGAAAATTTTATTATGACAAATTTTTTGTTAATTTATACTATTGATTTGTCATGTGTAAATATACATGGAATGTTTGTAAATTTTTGATACATGATGTAAGCGAAAGTATGAGTTTTGTTGTTAGCATTGTTTAATGCATGATAAGTTGTTTCAGTTGGTAACAGAGTCTTGGTTTAAGAGATATGGGTATCCTGATACTTAGACTTAAACTGGAGGTGTGGAGTACGTGATAATAGGTTCCACTGGGATTTCGGACATGAGAATGTGTTATGATTGAACCTATTATGATGATAAGTATGATAAAGTTAGATTACATGACATTAATGTAATCTTGAGTTACAGATACCATACATGATTTCTTAAATTTAAAAAAAATATTAAAAAAAAGGATTGCTGATGAAATTTATTTTAATTAAAAATAAATTATATTTTATTGGTGATGTTTCAAATTAAGAAAATAAAAATAATTTGATTAAATTACCGACAAATTAACGATAAAATTTAACTAAATACATAATTAAT